CTTGCCTTATATTTGTTAATAGAGCCGTCTAGCAGGTATTTAATCTTGAAAACCCATTTTCCTATTAGAGGTGTTCTACCTTTTAGTAGGGATTCGGCTAGAATCCACTCGATTATACTAGACTTTTTAAGAGACCTTATCTCTTTTATAACGGCTTTTCTCTATTTATCCTAGTTAGGCCTTTTTAGGGCTTTAGCTAGGGTTGTTAGGTTAGCTAGCTTCTAAGCATCTTTTATAGCAGTAGCTATAGCAATCTTAGTAATCTTGCTATAGTCGTGCTTAGCTACGGCTCTACTAGACCTAAGTCGTACTTCGGCTTAAAGAGGGTTTAGTTAAGGTAGGTTAGGAGCCCTCTTTCTCTTACTAGTAGTCTTAGGGACTTAGAAGGGAGTAATTAGGGTATCTTCTAGTTTAGTAGTATCTGTTTCTTAAGTGTACTAATCTTTCTTAGGAGCAGCTTCCTGCTAGGCAACTAGTAGTTCTAGTTGGTGATTTTAGAGTGTTAGCTTATTAGCTATAGGTGTTAGCTAAGGTAGTGTTCCTTACTTAAGTGTACCTTGCTCCCCCTAAGCTATAAGGGAGTCTTCCTAATCTTCCTAATTATAAGCCTACTAAGGCTAAGGGATGCTACCTCTAAATAGCTCCCCCTAAGGTTCTAAAGAGTGCTAAGGTGTTTGGTTATCACTAGGGAATAGTACTAGGATTCCTAACTCAAATAAAAGGTTAGACTAGGTTTCAAGTACCTAAATAGTCTCCTAAGGGATAGCTAGTCTCAAATACTCCCCCTAAGCTTAAAGAGTACTTAGAAGCTTAGTAAAATTGTCTTTATAGACAAAGTCCTCGTTAAAGGTAACGTATAGAGAGAATCTAATGTTATATTGCTATACGCCATCCTTCTAGTGCGGGTTCTAAAGCAGATAGTTTGTTAATGAATTTTCTTAGAATCCAATAAACTAGTAAACGAAAGCTCTTAGTGCAAATTTCTAGGAGTTAAGTCGTTCAACCCCGGATTCTAGGTATTTAAATGCCTTATAGCCAAATCGTCTCGTCTTAGACAAGTTAATATCTGTACTGCCGATATTCAAGTCTAATTCGAAAGCCTTAAGTAGCACTTCCTTAGTTCTTAAGTTTACTAGTCTATTAGTTAGGTAAATCGAATGTATTACTATAAAGCACTAGTAGTATATTAGTAGGCTAGAGTTAATTATTATTGCTCTTGCCTTAAGCAGAATCGTCTTGTTTGACGACTCTACAATGCTATTCTACTCCGGTGTATATAGTATAGACACATCCTATCTAATGCTAACTTCCTCTACAAAATGTACTAGATCGTTATTAGTAAACTCTCCCCCGCTATTACTAAAGATAATCTTAGGGATTTTGTTGTATTGCCTCTTAATTCTAGCTATCTAGTTGGTTAGCTTATTACTACTTGTTACCTTATCTTTATTTCGAAGTAACAGACCCTACCTAAGCCTAGTTTTAGTATTAGTTAGGATTATAATATACCTGTTTCCAAACAGATTAAATGGTTGTACGCTAACAAGGTCAATATAGACTTCGTTAAGGGCTCTTTCTAGTCTGGTTCTATATTCTCTTAATACAACTCTTTAAGCTCTCGAGAGCTTACAGGTCTTATAGTGCTCGAGTTCAGATATATTAACTTCTTCTAGGCCTAGAATAGCTTCCTTAGTAGCTGTTAGGATCTTATTGCCGACGTAGCTAAGTCTCTAATACTATCTTAATGTGTCCGCTCGTAGTCTAGCGATAGCTAGGGCTAATAGCTGCCCTTTCTAACTCGATTCTAAGTTTGGTTTTAAAGCTAAGCCTAGCATTTTGACTCTAGTATCTTTAAGGGCGAGTACTCCTTATACTTCCTTAACCTTTCTAATTAGCTTGCCTTTAAGCATTAAAGTGCCTAAAGGTCTGTCTAAGTGAATGCTACATTTCTTCTAAAGACGCTCTGCTAAGATTAGGTTGCAATCTAAGTTCGGGGAGTAGAGGACGTCTATTAGAGTAATTAGGGTTTTCTTTCCTTTATAGGTTAGGAAGATGTTAACAGTTCCTAATCGTAATACACTTGATTTTCCTACTGCTTAGGAGAACTGAATAGGCTTAGTTAGGTACTTAAGATCGCTAAACTAGCTCTTGTTCTCTATAATATGCAGTAATATACCTATGTCCTAAACTTTTATATTAGCTGTTAGGTTCTTAGAGCTTGCTACAGCTAGTCCCGGCTTTATAATAGCTCCCCTAATTAGGCCCCTACTAAGGCCGTCTAGCTAATAGTCTCCCTTATTTTCCGAGTTAGAGGAGGAGTCTAATTCATCTTTGTTATTGTTAATAGCACTACTAGATTTGCCCTTTCCTTTACCTTTACCCTTCTTGCCTTTGTCTTTGTCTTTGCTCTTGTCCTTCTTTCCCTAACTAGGTAGTGCTATATTAGGGTGTTGCTTGTAGCACTTAGCGTTAGTGTGTTTGTGCTTGTACTAAGTGCACTAGTCGTCATTATTGCTAATAGCCCCTCTAACAAGCTTTAAGCCGCTAGATAACTGTCTAGGAGGCTTTTCTCTCCTTAGAGACGTTATTATTGCTTTAAGGGAGGAGTCCTTAGCTTTAGGCTTATTGTTATGCTTCTAGGATCTAAGCTATTCGTAACTAGAAAGGCCCTAAATAAACAGCATCCTAATAAGTATATTAGGCATCTTAATATCTAATGACTTTACAGGCGCTTCTGTTATTGTAACTAAGCTAGCAAATTGTTCTATCGATGTTTAGAATCTATTAAACTACTGCTAAAAAGATTCGCAGTACTGCTAGGTATTCGGATTAGTAAGGGGCATCCTAATATACCTAATAAGTTTAATAGTATTAAATATATCTACGGTTATAATAGGCTTGTATAGAGCCTTAATATAGTCGTATATGTCCTTAGCTAACTTAGGTATATTACCGAAGTCTAGTCTAAGAGCAGGGTCGAGTCTAGTAATAAGTATACCTAAGGCTTAGATGTCTTTCTTTTTCTAGTCCCTAAATATGTCTCTATACTACTAATCGGCTAAGTCCCCTATAAACATACTTTTTAGAAGTAGTTTTATTTTATTAGCCTAGTTAAGTCTATAGAATACTATACTAACTAGGTCCTTTTCTAGAAGGGCCGCCTAGAACATAAGCTTCTAGTCTTAGAAGTTGATCCCCTTCCTAAGAACCTAATTCTCCTTTGCTATCTTTGTCTAATTAGTATCTATCGTTCCTAGCTACCTTTTAGTATAGTGCTAGGTAGGGCTTATAAGGGACACTTACTAGGTTTTAGTCCGAACTAGAGCTCTTAACTAGGTACCTAATAGGTCTAGATAGCTAGCTCTGTTTAGTAGACTCTAGAAACAGTTCTTTTATAGTTAAACTAGACAGGTAAGCGTATACGCCGGGCTTATAACCTGTTATAAATCGTGCTAGGGATGTAACTAATTATCGGATTAATAACTATATAACTATACAAAGAAGAATTAGGAGCCTGCTACAGAAACTGCAGTTAATATACCTATTGTGTGTCCTTCCTCTTGGCACAGGTTAGCTAATGGTATCAGCTGACCAGCATATCACCTGACTGAACCACAACAACATCATATCCAAAAAACAAGAACGCGCTCAGACAAGCAACGTATATGCCTGCGCGCAATGGCGCTCCTCTTCCGTAGCAGCGACGCATCTTGGTTGTGATCCATATCTCTCGCGATGGAAGGAGTCAACGAGATATATGTGGTCAACTGTCGATCTCTTTGCAGGTTATACCCGTTGTGCTTAGCGAACAAAAGTGGAGCTGAAAAGGTGGTCAATTGTGTGCACAGACAGAATTTGTATGAGCGTACACGCGAAACTCGGGCAACTTGCATGATGAACGCTCTTGTCCATCCAGTTTTCAAAGGGATCATCTCAAACGGCCAAGTTTCGGCATACCAAAGCAGGTCAGACGAGTTCGAGATCCCGGCTTGGTGGTTGTCTTGGATGCCAAGGAGAGGAGTAGAGCGTTACACAGCAGCACCAGCCCGCATGATCGGCATTATAGCGTGTCGGCCACATGGCAGAGGAGTACAGTGAGCTGTTGCTCGGATTAGTGTACGCGTGAAGTTCTCCGAGGTCATATGGTGTGCGAGGTAGAGTAACTTGTTCGATAAGGGAGCGAAGAATTTTGTAATAAAGCTGCTGGTTCACCTATTCGCAAAGCTGAAGTAAATGCCAAGATGGCCATGCAGAGGCTGAATTGCTGGACCTGATCACCGCAGATTGAATTGGCGATGTCACGAGCGTAATTGTGATGCTTGTGTCGCGTGGAGTATGGTTCTGGGGTCCCCAGAAATCTTGTACTGTACGCACTTTTGGTCTCGGTTCTGCTGACCTATCTCTCCAAAATGGCATCTGAAGGCTCGGCAAAACTGAGATCCTGCATTCTTGACGAGCTCTTGATGATTTGTTAGTCCCGTCAATGAATATGTTGGTCCAAGTTGTGAAATTTCTTATGCAGAACTGCTTGCTGCTGCTACTGTACCTCGCATCAGTCAGAACGGCACAGCCACTCGCCCCGTCTCAGCTTGAAGGAGCGCTGGATTGTATGCACCAGACAACAAATCCAATAGCTTGTCCTGCGCGCTTTACTCGAACCTTGCTACTGCGCGCATTGGACCCCCAGAGCCATGTCTGATCTTGAGAGGAAAGCCCATAAACCTGAATCTGCCCTTGCCGACAACCTCCTCGAGATGATCCAAACCCTCAATATGTGTAATATTCCTCTCAGCGCAGGCATTGTGCGCCTGGAAATTCAGCTCTCCCTCTGGAGCAGGCGATATTGCCTCGACGCCGAAGATCTTACAACCCTTGTCCGCGAGCCAATGTACTGCTTCAAGCGACATGCCAGGAAAGTCATGTTGCCATCTCAGGTCATCAAAAGGTATGCGGCGATTGAAAGCCATGTAGAGTAGAACGGTGTCTCCTTCACGGATCTCCTAGCCTGACTTTGCCAGCGCGTCTTCCATCTCCTGAACACTGATGCTGGCCTTCAATTCCACATGCGACAGGTCTAAGCATATTGCTTCGGTATAGAAATTTTGCAATGGCATTTGATCGATGGATAATGCACCTGGAGTAGGGTTGAAGAGTTTAGGGGCATCGACGTGTGTGCCGGCGTGGTCGGACATGGCTAGAGCATAAGATGAGGAGCGTAGAATGGTATTGCCTGCCTGCTTCGGCTGATGGGTGACCCATGGTGTGATGACTACGGGCGGGTGAAATGGATGCGCTGGACTTCGATGGTAGAGCTCGCGACTGAGATCAACCAGCTTCGGCTTCTTCGACGAGGCGGTAGCATGGTGTCTTGGTTGTAGCGGGCAGGGCGAAGTAGCATTGCTAGCTAATAGTCAAGATGGCTTGTTGCTTACCGTCCGGAGGAATCTGCGAGTTAGCATTTCGGATCAGATTGTCAATGGTTGCTGCGTAGTATGCTAACATCTGCTCCTCACGACCAGGTGCGAGTATAGCATCATGATGGAAAGGTGATAGGGAATGATAGGCCAGGGTATAGAGCAGTTGGAGAAGTTGAGTTTGACCAGGCCAGGTCACCTGAAGCTTGAGCACATGCTTACGTGGAGGGGTTGGACCATGCCTTCCTCCTGAGTAAGGAATCTATAAGGACTCACACACGCAAGCACTACAGTACAACGAAGAGAACCTTGAACGATTGCGACCTGCTTCGTGGACGATTACGACGAGTGTCAGCCGGTAATCGTAGCCGTAGATACTTGCCGCGACTACTAGACTCCTATTATTGCCTATCCTTGCTTGGCTACAAGACATATCAAAAAAGCAAGGAGAGCGAAAGCATGAGTGATAGCCTGAGCTGTCTTAGCTGCGCCGGATCGAGCAAATGATGAGCTGTGAGTTGTAGGCGAACAAGCAAAAAACGATTACATCCAGCCCGCGGAATTCTTACCATGGTGGTTGGGACTTCCAGCAGTCATTCCACGTCAGACTTGGCATTTGGATAGAGCCTTGACTTTATTGACCCACTGTGAAGCCACATGTAGTGGGATCCTTGCCAATACAGTATGTGCCATGCTGCGCTTGTAGACGAATATTGCGGGCTTCTTGGGGGTAGTGGAGTGGCGCTGTGGACAACAGCAAATATTCCTGGCTGCTCACAGAGTTCGTGGTCAGATTTCCGGACAAGGTGCTGTACGATTGACTCAAAGTCTACGGCGGCGAGAAAGTCGAAGACTGCTGTTCTCTGCCCAATCTCCCTCTGAAGAAATTTTCAGCAGCAGCACGAAAGATTCTCGCTTGAGCTGATGACTTTATGGACTCCTTCTTGGCATGATGCGGTGCTTGCGCTGCTCCGCCTTGGAAGGCAGATCGGTTGAGGTGTTTTGCTCAAGGATACTGCATGCTTGGAAGATGACGTTCTTCCATGGCACTTGTGCCTGAAATGGACATGTCAGCAAGAACTCGCGGGCTGCACATGCGCGTCTGCCACTGATGACTGGGCAATTGCTGACGAGAGTGGCTTTTACATCCATCTAGCTTTGTGGTTGAGAAAGCACGCGGCGAATTGGAGCGGCTCTTCAACGGCCGTGTAGCCAAGGGTGGAAAGAGTCTCCGTCCCGTGACAGCCTGGAGCGGCACTGTTCCTGTTCCTGTATGCATGCAACCATAAGGGATTGGGCAGCCCTAGCTTATGCAGGCATCAAGTTTTAGCCGCAGGAACTAGTCGGTGTTATACGAGGATTCGCTGTTGAGCTGTACAGTAGCTGCTCGGGTGGTTCGTAGGGGAGCAGAAATCTTGTGCGATGTCGTTGCTCTGGAGTGACGGAAGAAACACAAAAGGCCGTGATGTGCAAAGGCGCGATGATGCCGAACGTGCGAGAAAACGGTGAAGCTGGAACGGCAGCGGTAACGGCAACGGCAACGGCAACACGTTCGCACGTTGCCAAGCCCAGAAGGCTGGCAGGAACGGCTGGAACGGCCACTGAGCCGAACTGACGCTAGCACCCAAATGGCCACTGAACACACCACAAGCCAATCGGTTGCTCCATGCCCCTTGGCCGCTGCATGTCTAGCATATTATCAGTCGGTGATGAGTGGCACACACTGCGATCAGAGCAAAGCTCAATCATGCATGCTAGGCCAAACGTACACGCACTCTTCCACTACGACCAAGGCAATAATCAACCTCAGCCTTGTCCGGAACAGCGTGCGTGCGTGCGTGCGCGGTTCGCCGGCATTGCTTAAGGTTCTCGCTAGACGCAAGCTCCCTGCAGTCGATCTGTCGATACGACGTACCCACGAGGTTCCCCTGGAAAGTGGACGAATGAGAATCAGCCGTGTGAGCATCGCAATTTGCACATTTGACGCCAGCAATAAAGTTGGCCGGCTCCGGCTTCTGTGCATCTTCTGCAGCGCAGCGCAGCGCAATCTTCCTGGCCGCGTACTTTATCAGGCCTCAATGTCTGCCTTCACCGCAGTCGTGGCCCTCTTCCCTTGTCTCTACCAGCCTTCTTGTTGAGTCCCCTCGTTTGGATATCCTGTCCCACCACCTTCGTTCTGCATCACCATCGTTAACTCGACCTCGTTGTTCGACGGGATCTTGTTTGCTACATCTCTAATTCTTTCTCTCGACATCATGATGCGAAACATCGCCCTGGTGAGCCTTGCTTCGGCGGCATTGGCTAGCTACGCTCCTCCACAGTATGGAGGCGAATCATCCGCCCCGTCCTATGGTGATGAGCCATCCGCTCCATACGACCCTGCTGAGAGCACGACCTGCACAGAGGAGGACCACCCTTCCACTGTCCCCGTCTATGCACCAAAGACCACCCCATCCGTTCCAGCATATGGCCAATCTACTTCCAGCCTGCCAACCCCTCCAGTCTATGCTCCATCAAGCTTGACATCCTCGCAGTCCATGCCAACCTACCCAGCTTCGTATCCCCCATACGGCCCGCAGAGCGAGACTTCCACCTCCTGCACCGACGAGTGGCCAAAGGAGAGCGTCACCGTTCCCATCTACTCGCCCCCAGCGAAGCCAACCGCCACTTCTTCTGCAAGCATCAGCACTTACCCCCCACCCAAATCACCCGAGACTGAGAGCTCAACTTCCTGCAGCGAGACCACCGACACTGCTACCAAGCCAGCTACCTCGACTTCAGTTTCTACTCCTTACTCCCCTCACACAGTCCCACACACATACCCATTGAAGAACACAACCACCAGCGCCACCAAGGTCTGGACTACTTCGACTGTGTACACCACTACCGAGGTCACCATCACCTCGTGCGCTCCAGACGTCACCAACTGCCCAGGCAAGACTACCACTCAGACTTACGCTGTCTCTACCACTGTGTGCGAGGTTACTCCAACTTCGACCCCAGGCAAGCCGAACACTTACCCTGTCCCAACTCCTTCGACCCCAGGCAAGCCGAACACTTACCCTGTCCCAACTCCGTCGACCCCAGGCAAGCCGAAGACTTACCCTGTCCCAACTCCATCGACACCAGCTCAGCCAACATCATACATCACCAAGACTGTCGAGACACCAAAGATCCCTGCGCAGCCATCCACCTCTGCCAGCCAGCCCCCGCTTTACCCAAGCCAGCCAGTCGAGTCGCAGCCACCAAAAGGCCCAAAGACTGTCTACAGCACCATCTACTCGACCATCCCATGTGCGGACTGCGCCTCTACCGCTAGCGTTCCAGTTGTGCCACTTCCATCTCCGCCAGCCAGCTCGCAGCCACCGGCCTACGGAACTCCAGCTACCACCCCATCCTCTCCAGTCCAGACGACTCCAGCTACCACTCCATACTCTCCAGTCCAGACGACTCCAGCTGTGCCACAATACCCACAGGGCAACAGCACTACTCCCGTCCAGGGTGCTCCAAGCCCCACTGTCAGCCAGCCAGTCGCCTACACCGGCGCAGCTTCCGCTGCCAAGCCAATCATCGGCATGGTCGCTGCTGCTGCTGCTGCTCTCCTTGCTCTTGCGTGAATGCATTTCCCTCACGGCCTTTCATGAGTTCTTAATTATCTTCGTATATAATGCCACCGGGGAGGTGGGTTGATGGGTGCAGGTAATAAAACACATCGCACTCTCAGTCTCGCGTCGGACGGACATGGGTTGCATGGGGGTTGGTATAGACAAATCACGACAAGGGTTCACGTTCTTGCGCAGCGGCGCAGGGCGGTAAAACAGATGATTCCTGTGGCTGGAAACGTTTCTTGGTGATGATGGGACTTGGATAGAGTATTATGTATATACACTAGCAATGAAGTTTGGAACAATGAATCATCTCACGTCAAGCACCTTTCCTTCCTCCTCGGGACATTTGGTTCTTCTCGTCGACGAGGACTCGGTCAGCTCTCCGCTACCAGGTCTACTTCAAGAGTTTACCGGCAACTTCGGAACGCAAAGCTCAAGCAATATATCTACTGTATATCTCAATCTCAGCGAAAACGACTCGGCCAGATTCTGTACAGTACATCCCAATCCTCATGCCGAAAAAAATAGCACTGGGCTCTGTGGTTGGACCTGAAAGGCAGAAAGATGCCGAGACGCGTCAAAATAAATCTGTGATGGTTCGTGGCATGTTGGATGGAGAGTCAGAAGTGGTCGCGGAGGCTCTGGAAACTCGCGGAATCGAACGTGCTGGATGTTGAGAGAATGCGGCGGACTCTGTATCCATCACTACTGGACTCGCGCTCGAACTTATACTTTCTTTGCCGCCCTGGTCAGATCTCGCCCAAGCGAATGATCACCGCGATGGCCCGTTCGTCAAAACAGAAGACCAAGACAATGCAAAAGCACCCAAGAGATGAAGTCGTGTATTCACAGGTCTACGTGTATACAAACGCATTTCAGCTTGCTATTCTCCAGGCTCTTAGCGGCAGTGCTTGTAGCTTTAGAGCTGCTGGCTTGATATATCCCCAGAACGTTACGACGCCGAAGATGACGCAAAGCACGTTGACATAATAGTAGCCGTCGCGATCGATCTGGCATACTCCGCCGCCATCTATACATCGGTGCTTCTCCGCTTCTGCTACACAAGAGAAAGCCTGTGTTATCAGACTGCCCTTGAGTTCGGCTGGAGCTTTGGCAGGAGGTATGCAGGTTGCTTTTGTAAAGCTGTCAACTGCTTTGAGGACGAAAAATCGTGGGAAAGTGCCACCAAGGTTTGAGACGCTGGGATGCATTAGCGGGGATAGATTCTGCAGGATAGATGTGAACAGTACTTACGTGGCGAGTAAAGTCATGTAGGTACCGCCGATGGCAGGGTCCGAGATCTTGGCATGGAAGGCGGAGATGGCGACGAACATGCACGTGCTCATGAATGTTGAGAAGATGTGCGAAACGATAATCAGCAGCAGATAGCCCGTCGTAGTTCCGGTGGGCGGAAAAAACATGACCGTCATTTGTGCAAAGACAGCTGCGACAAGGCGTCCAACAAAGGCCCAACACCACACTCGGACGGGTTGGTATTGCTCGCTCCATTTACCAGCGTAGTATCCAAGACTCATTTCGAACGGAAAGTCAATCAGTACTGTCAGAGCAAGATCTTCCTGGCTGAAGCCTTTGTCTAGAAGCTTGAGGTTGGTCACCGCCTCGTTTGCCTGGAATCCGATTTTGGCGATGAGATGAATGATGATGAAGGTCTGGATGTTTTTCAGCTTCATGATGCCGCCCATTGTCTTGTAAACTTCCCAGATGCTGTCCTTCTCCTTGGTGCGATCCTCCTTTTTGAGCACTGCGAGGCCCAACGTCACAGCGAGGTAGAACCAGCCCCAGAACGTAAGGTACGAATTCAAGGTGATTAGTCCCACATCCGAAGGTGTGCTGCGGAACCACTTGTTCGCAAAATCTGGGGCGTTCAAAGCAAGGAAGACCGTGAACGACAGGAATTGCCCACCCGTGAGGCCGACCGTCTGAGCTGTACTTGCGTACGACAGATTGCTCTGAGAGATGAGCGTAAGTGCCCAGCCATCAACGGCGATGTCTTGCGTGGCGCACATGAAGACGAGTGCAAACCACCATCCTGTGAAGCCCCACACGCCAGCTCCGCCGTTGCTACCGGCATCTTCCATCATCTGGGAAGCTCTACCGCCAAGCCATATCATACCAAAACCACTCAATGTCTGAATGGGGAGGATCCAACTCTTTCGTCTACCCACTCTCGCGCTCCAGACAGCATCGACAATCGGACTCCACAGCAGCTTCAGACTGTATGGGTACGAGGCCAGGGAATAGACTCCAATTTGGCTGTAGCTCAGATGGCTCTTCAGCAGGAATGGAACACTGCCTCCTGCCAGACCCATAGGTATGCCTTGCAAGAAGTAGAGCAACACCAAGAGCAAGAAATTCCTCTGATCCTGCTTGGGAAGCTCGAAGAAGCCTTTGCTATCGCCTTCTCCTCCTTCCTTGCTATGCTCCGGCGCATCATCGAGCGTAAAGTCGTGCCTCTGCATCAGCCTGTCTCTTGCATCTGTTGTGTCTTCATGCGGCACTTCGAGGGCAGATGGATGCTTCCGCCGCTCCAAGAATTGTCCACCATTCATGGTATCGTTGGAGTGTCCGGTCGCGTGCAGCTCAGAGATGCTGGAACTCGTGCTCAGGGTGCCGTTGTCTCTCACGCTGGCACGGCCACGCGGATCGGGGCTCCGCGACTTGGACTTCTTCTGCGGCATCGAAGGGAAGTCGTCGTCTTCGCTCGAGAAGTATTCGTTATCTTTTGTCAACAGTCTCTCTCGGGTCAGTCCGACCCTGGCACCAGGACCGCTGCCGCCTATGGAAGCTTGCGAATGTAATGTAACCTCCTGAAGCTCGTGGGCGAACGCGCTTTCCAGTCTCTCGGCAGCTCGATTATGCTGTGCTGCTTCTTGGCGCGCTCGTGCTTGATGGACGGGAACGACTGCTACGACACCTCCAGCAACGACAGGTGTAAAGGCAGGTGGGCTGTCATTGCTGGCCATGTGAGGCAACCAATCCTTCCCTCAATCGGAATACATACGTGTTCGCACGCGTCTAGCCGATCGGCCAGTGCCGGGGTCTGCCAGGTACAAAGAAGGTACGAAGGTACGGCGCGCGCCTAATCTGGTGACAGCGACGACATCAGCATGCAGACATTGGCATGGACGATTCTCATGATTAATCAATCTCTCACGGAATACCAGACTCTTACCGACCGGACCATTGATGCCTCTTTTCAGCCCTTTGTTCCTTACGGAATACCAGACTCTTACCGACCGGACCATTGATGCCTCTTTTCAGCCCTTTGTTCCTTGCAGCGGGCGTGCATTTGGTAAGCCACTGCAGATCTATTCCGATTAATCAAATTTTGAAGCAAACACCAAGCAAAGCGCGTCGCCTGCTTAAATTTCAACCTTGAAGGTGGTGGAGACCGAGGAGAAAAGGAGAACGGTTGCTTTGGTCATCGGCACGCTTCTTGTACAATAAGGCATTGCATCATGTCTACTTCTCATTCTCTTCCTGTATAAATGTCACACTTCCACGCGGGCGGAGCTGCTCATCTCCGATTGCACGAGCTTGCCTCGGCCAATGGCATCGGACATCTGAGAGCCATACTGCTGAACCGTCTCTCTGAACTGGACTTCACTCACTTGGGCTCTCTCGTTGCAATTACTGGTATAGTCCCGGCGGCCTGGCGTTTCTTGCACCAGTCATGGCATAATGGAGCGACGTGGGTGAAGCGATTTTTCATCTCTTCCGTCACCATTCCTGCGGGAGATCCTTTGAATCGAAGTGTCAGCACTTGGGTCTTAGAGAGCGTCGTTGAACCTCGACACTTACGCTTTCAAACTGCAAGAACCGAGATCACTCCGCGAGACCGAGATCCGGCGGCCTTATTGAAGAAGTCACAGCGAGCAATTCAGTATCTTCCCGTTTGGAGATCGCTTTGGTTCTGGCATGACGGACGACTCTTTGCTGCTACACGCATCCTCGACAACTTCAATTCCAATCTCAGTGATCCAAACTACGATGGAATCGGCGGTGAAGAGCTCACTCTCAGCTGTCTGGGGCTATCAGCAAACCCGATCCGAGCCCTTGTCGAAGTATGCCGCGAATACGCCCAAAAGAAGCAGCAATTCTACGTGATAATATATTCGAGAGATCGATATGGCATGAGCTGGAAGCCAAAGTACCGGAAACCTTTACGACAGCTAGACACTGTACACTTTGACGACGTTACGAAACAAATCCTGATCGAAGACATTCGCAATTACCTAGACGAGCGAACACAGAAGCTTTATCAAAGTCGGAGCATGCCATACAGAAGGGGCTACCTTTTTTACGGGCCGCCTGGGACAGGCAAAAGCTCACTTTCGACAGCCATTGCCGGGGAATTTGGACTAGATCTGTACGAAGTCAAAGTACCCAGCATTGGCAACGATGCGGATCTGGAGCAGATGTTTCAAGAGATCCCGCCACGATGTATTGTGCTTCTCGAAGATATCGATGCTGTCTGGAGCACGAATAGAGAGCAAAGACACGAACGCCATCTAAATGCCAACGACCCAAATAGTGACGCCCAGTCCACGCACAGCCAAGTTTCAAATGTGACCCTCTCGGGCCTGCTGAACGTGCTCGATGGTGTTGGATCGCAGGAGGGTAGAGTGGTCATCATGACAACGAACAAGCCTGAACAACTTGACGCTGCTCTTGTACGTCCCGGCCGGGTGGACTTTAAGCTTTACCTGGGCAACATCAGCAGAAAGTCTGCCTACCAAATGTTCCTTCGCATGTTCGCGCCAGACTTACTCAGTTGGGCACAGAAAGGTCATGGTCGGAAGGAAAGCAAGCACCACTCCCAGCGTATTTCACACACGATTGATGACCTCGACCAGCACGTCTCAATGGAACAGTTGAAACTGCTTGCCACTCAATTTGCAGAGCAGATCCCCGAAGACACTCTCACGCCTTCCCAGCTGCAAGCATTTTTTCAGCTCCATCTGAGCAGCGCTGCTGGGGCAGCTTCAAGCATTGCTGCTTGGGTGCAGAAAGAAATGGTCATCAGATCTGATAAGGAGTGGGAGCCGTAAATATTATGTCCGGTAGATGTTGTATGAATGCGACTCCACGCCTATCAACTCACGGGCGCGCTATGCGCAATTCACTTCCCCAAATCTCACATGCTGTTGACTTTGGCCCGCGGCTCGTGGCGCTCAGACCATGCCTTCTCTTTGACTCTCGACGTCCCAAAGCCCTCACCTAAGAATCGAAACATCATCGCCAAAATGTCACACCTCGAAACACTCTCGCAAGAGTTGTTTGATCTCGTCATCACACAACTCCATCCGTCCGATCTACCACACCTCCGTCTCACGAGCAGGACATGCGCCGCCAAAGTCCTCGATCACTACGCCGCTGTGCATTTCCGCGACTGCAGTGTGAACTGCGATAGGCGCAAAGACGACATCGGCAACAGTTTAAAAATCTTTCTAAAGATCGCTCAGAACAACACCATAGGCTCAAAGATGCAGTCTTTGATTCTCGAGTTGAAGGCAGACGACAAGAACACAGCAGCAGCCTGTACAGACCCTTTTGATGAAACCATCCAAAAGCAGCTCAAAGCGCTCTTCGCAGCACTGAGTCAACACCAGCGTCTCAAAGCAATCCGCATCACGAGCGAATTTCGCTTGCATAGGAATAATGTGGAAGTGCTTTCCGAACAGACTCGGCCACTGCGTCTCGTCCCAGAGGGTCTCGAAGGCCATCAATTCGAAATCGATGAGCTGATCATTGGTAGAGACGAGGATGATGACGACTTGCAGTGGAGTCTGCCATACCAAAAGTTGCTGCAAGTACCAGCTCAATGCAACGCCTTCCGTTCCGTCCTTCAAACACTCACCTCCCTCCGCATCTCGCTCTGGGAAAAGGAAGAGCCGTGAGGGGGCTGCGAGCTGCAACAGCAGCGCGGATTTGACTTCATGGACCATGCTGTCGAAAGCGCCGCGATTGAAATTCCTTGCGCTACATGACCGCCATCAGCACGAGGCGTTGCTGTGCGATTTCAATTGCTTCAAATAACTAAAAAAAGGAGGGCTTTCCGGCGCTGGAGACACTAGAGCTGGATTATCTGTTCTTGAACCTGGGCGGTCTGTGTTCATTTCGCCAACATGTATCTCAGCAAAAAGCTCAGTTTGAATAATGTTCGGGTTTTCGGCTTTGGGGTCTGGGCTGGTGCTGGGAATGTGATCGACTATAATAAGTCGGCGTCGTTACATTTGGAGGCGTGGACTGGTCTGAAGTTGTTGGTCGATACGGATGTCGTAACGGAAGAGAACTGGAGATTTGCGAAGTATGATGGCTGGTGAAAGGTTTCATGGAGGGCAAGGGAGGACCCAATTCTGTCCCAGCTGCCACTAGCCGGGCAGAAAGTTGGAGGTGGACATCATAAATAAAGAGACGGCAAGGGAGGGCCTGATGCTTTCGCAACTGCTGCCAATCGGGCAGAAAATTGAAGGTGGAGACCATGAGTAAAGAGATGGCAAGTGCCAGTCTGTGGGTATGGAAACTCTTGGTACAGACGTGCACTTCGTCGGCGGGAAGAGAGCAATGGAAATCGGGAAGATGGAAGAGTTCGGAGCGCGCTGCGTCCCTACCCAGCACTGTACTTTTCTTTGAACTTTTACACCCCAGTGCTGTTGGCATCCTTGCTAAGATTTTCGTGACTCGAAATTCGACAGACTCGTCTGACTTTCAACTGTTGATCTATCGTCTATGCTTTTCAACCGGTGTAAGAGCCAAGCTTTGATGACATGCCCTTGGGGGTACCAATGTTGTCGCCGTACTGGCCAGCAACATTACCTAATATCGAGTCAGCATACCTAACTCCCATCGTCGTGATTGACTTGTATGACTTACCGGCAGGGCTGTAGTTGCAGACTGTGAGGGTGTCAATGCCTGCGGCGTTCTGTACGCCGCCGGGGCAAGACTGAGTAGCGCAGCCGACCTTCTCAGTAGCGTTCCAGACCATCTGACTGAAGTGTCCCCATTTCTCGAAGTTGCTCATGTCTGGGTCTGGCTGGCCATAGTCGTTGGCGAAGTATACGACCTCGCCTGAAGAAGAGTCAATAGGTATTCTTTGAAGAGTCGCATCTACTCGTTGCCGTACCGTTGTACCACATGTCAGTGATGGCATCGCCAATCGCTTCAGCAGTGGTCCCAGCGGCAAGGTTTTGGCCGTATCCACCGCCATCGACATCCCTTTCCGACGTCAGTATAAGCATGAGAAGAGAGCAAATCGCGAATCGTATGCCCACATCTGGTGCTCGAAGTTGCATGTCGCGGCAATCTTTGCAGCAGTGCTGGCGAGGCCTTCGTCGTAGGTGAGAGGCGAAGCAGAATGGTTGGTGCGGTGAATGTTGTGGTGAACGACCACCAAGTTAGAATAGTCAAAACGCTTCTCAAGACCACGCTTGTGAAGGTGTCCGTGGTCGCCAGCATGTGGCACGGCCACAGATCCTGCCACGAAAGTGGTCAAAGCAAGAGCCCAAAGCATATTGAAAGGTAAGATGCTGTTTCTTCTGCCAAGTAGAGAGTGTATAGGGTCAGAAAAGAGCAGATAGATGGATCAGAATACGAAGGACATGCATGGGTCCCCTATGTATATTCTCCGCGCGTTTGCGTGTCCCATCATCCCATGCGAGCGTTGCCAGAGTTGGCGACGGCGCTCGGTTAGCTTCAGCCTTTGACTCAGTGAGATGAATAATGTTGACGCTGTCGATCACATCATATCGTGCAGCCAAATTTGGCTCGGGACAGGCCACAGGAAAACGTGGAGCATCGTCACAAGTTGACGTCTGCCAGCAATTTTCGAGACATTTTCGGCAGGGCGACAAGATTCTGCTCCTCATGCATGGGGATTGCGTCTTGCGTGCGAAGTATGGCCGTTGTTTTCCCGATTGACATGCAAGCTGACAGGAGGCATACCGTTCCACACCCGTTGCGCCACGAGAGCCTGATCGTCGCGTATGACGTGGTGCCTTTTCAATCTATTTCAAGCAGCCGGGCAAGTTCCGCAAGTTCCATGGCCTGACAGATGAATACCGATGAGCTCCACAGATGACATTCCTGCGTGCGTGTTTTGTGTTGATGAAAGCGTGTGATGAGCTGTGGTTGAGGAAGTTGCGTTTCTAGCCCGCACGCAGTGGGTCATCAAACTCTGCGTAAAAATTGACGGCAGAAATCAGGGTACTTTGGCGGCATCAGAGTGCTACGAACCGGGTGATGAAGCACGCCCAGCGCCGGATTTCCCTCTGATTCTGTCCATTGAGAGCTAGACGGGGACGAGAACCAGCAGAATCCCCCTCGCTTGCATCCCCTTTGCAGACTACTCTGCGTCTATGGCGCTGCAAACTGGTCATATTCTTGACCAATCCGAAAGCGATCTGTCGCTCTTCCGATCACCCACGCGCTTGATATATGTGCAGCGGAGTAGAGCCGCTTTGATCTACAGCTTCTTCGTCTCCCACACGTGCATGGCTGTTGTGGATTGGTAGGACGAATGAGCGAGGATGCTTCCTTCGAATCTAGAGTCTTGATTGAACAAATAGCTTCGTTGCATGGTGAACCACGTTGCCGCGCTGCCAAAGACATAACAAGAGTCAAAGCCCGATGAACGCCAACAACAGCTGTCCCATCGCATCCATAGTCATTCCGGTTGTCTGTGTTGGTCTCAGTGTCTCTGTACAGTCAGCACATGTGCTGTTCAGCATTCCAAGAAGACGCCGAGACTCCGTGACCTTTCCAACGATTGAATCAACGATATCGCAAATAGCAAACGCCTCAAAAGCCGCTCCGTGGGTATCCTGCTGTCTTCACACCAGTCGTTATCATCATGCAACATCTCCTCTCATCACTCTCAAGCGACTGTGCGACGCTGCGCAGCCTCATACAATGCTGCTGTCGCTCCAATCACGCTGGAGACAATCATGGCGGTAGCTCCGCCATAGATATACCGATTGACATCTTGTGCGACTTCGCGATTGATCAAGCCAAAGCTAACGCCCTGCCCATACACCAACCAGACAAGTAAGCCTTTCACAACATTGAAAGTGAAAGGGTCTGCTTGGTATCTTGCAACAGATACACGTGCATTTCCCCGCTTGACGTCGCGGATAGTCAGGTTGTAGAAGTATGCAAGGATCCAAGGCAGTATCACATTGGTGGCGCTGAAGAGTAGAGTCTTTGACCAGTAGGATCCGGTGACGAGGACGAACAGGTCCGGCAGGATGACCGAGATGCTAGGGATGTGAGCTGCCGGAAAAGCAGGTGTTTTGAATCGCCATTCCCATGGCATGACAGCTCGCTGAAGAGCAAATGCTTCGATGATCAGGAACGTGGTCTGGATAGCCGTCACACTGGAGCAAGCTTCCCGTAGATTTGCAATGTAATCATCAATGCCAGAAAGAGTGTAGAGGTCGTTCAGGCGTTCCATGAAGTGCGCAGATTCTTCTTCCACGATGTCAGCAACAGTCGCGGGAGATGGCGGTCCTGGAAGCTGGGATATTCTGCGGGCACGTGTTGCTGGAGTACGCGAACTAAGTTGGCCAGAGGGGCTGAGAGCAGATGTCACAGCAGAAATCGCGTCGCTCGCCGCGGCACTCGCGGAAGCAATTGGCGAAGAGAAAGTGGCATCATCGCTGATACTGGTTAGCGGTGGGAATCGTGAAGATAAGTGTCGACACGTACTCAGACTCTTGCTTGACCCTTGTGGCGCGTCGTGGCCTGCCCTTGACAACACTCTTGACCTCATTCACGGCGTCCTCGACTGCCTCTGGAACAAATGCAGCTGTGCTTTCACGTGTCTTGAATGGCGTTGTTCCACGTCTTGTGACCCAATAGCCATCGAAAGCTGAATTGCTCTGAAGACGCGTTTTGTTATTTGGGAGGTACTCGTCGAGGGTTTCTACGATTTCATCTTTGCGGAGATCTTCGTTCCTGCTCGACAGCATTAGCAGAGGTCGCGATCACGCAATGCTACGCGTCATACAGTTCCAAACCAGCTTCTTTAGAGAGATCTAGCAAGGCCTGCTTTCGCTGCCGCTGTAGCCAAGAGTGCGACATGGTGTGATGGGTAACGGATTTGAACAAAAGTGGTATGGTCGTAGTCGCGTAAGCTATGCGATCGCGGTAGAGCTATTCACGGAGGTAATGAAGCAACGGATGGTGTGTTGCCATATGGTGTCGCGTGAAGAACAACAAGAGATGCGATTAAGGCTTCGGATGTAAACAAACGAGATGCGGCTTCTTCCGGTTGGTCTTGGCAATGAAGAGCCTCAGCCAGAAATGGATATGATCTCACGTGCCTAGGAGCAGCTTGTTCACCGGTTGAAGCATACTGTACTGTACTGAGACACAGAGCAGAATGTGATGCCGACACACGATGTCTGAAGTCCTGCCCTCATGCGAAATTGTTGGTGCTGCAGAGTAGAGGGAAAGTGAAGACAAACCTCAGGCAGCGCTGGCTCAACAGTTCACGTCGTTCCTCGGACCTCCGAGCCGACTGCGAAAATTGAACAGACAGCTGCATACGCCCACACTACGCCCATCGACCAACTACCATCAGGAGTCAGACCTCAAAAGCAATAGGCAGTGCCAAAGCATCTCTGCTTTTCCGCATTGATCAGGTGCAACCAACAACATCCTCCTAACACATCGCATGCTTTCCTCCAGGAGGTAACCTCTCTCCCTATGGTATTGGCCCGTGTGGCTGAATACTTCTTCCCATCATCAGGCGAAAAGGAAGTGCCTCTCAACTATATCGACAATGGCCTCCCATCGGATACGCGACGGAAGACAGAAGGATCATCCGCGAATAGACCGAGAGGCAGCACCGCAAAGGCTGTAAATCTCGAGCATGAATCGTACCGGCCTCCGTACATTCATGCCATGCTGGCGGGTGGTTTGGGAGGTGCAATGGGTGATATGTTGATGCACAGTTTGGACACAGTCAAGACAAGACAGCAGGGCGACCCTCATATGCCGCCGAAATATACGAGCATGGGAAACACGTATTGGACCATCTTGCGTCAGGAAGGCATTGTGAGAGGGCTATACGGAGGTGTGACTCCAGCGTTTGTTGGGAGCATCGCTGGCACCATGATCTTCTTCGGCTGCTATGAGAGTAGCAAAAGAATGATGATTGACAATGGAGTGACACCTTGGGTCGCATACTTTGCAAGTGGATGGGTCGCGGATCTTGCAGCAAGTCCTCTATATGTGCCAACAGAAGTGCTCAAGACGAGACAGCAGCTGCAGGGAAGATATAACAATCCTTATTTCACGAGCGGCTACAACTACCGCTCGACCATGGATGCCCTGAAAACAATATACGTCAAAGAAGGCTGGCGTGAGCTCTTCTCAGGATATAAGGCGACGCTGTTCCGAGATCTGCCATTTTCCGCCCTCCAATTCGCATTCTACGAGCAAGAGCAGAAACTTGCGAAAGAGTGGGTGGGACCAGGGAAGGAGATCGGTCTCGGGCTCGAGATCCTCACAGGTGCAAGCGCTGGAGGCATGGCTGGCGTACTGACATGTCCGCTGGATGTCGTTAAGACAAGGATCCAGACTGAGCTTGATCCAGAACTAGCAGCAAAAGCGAGGGAATTGAAGACATCTTCGAAGCCTGCGAATGCGGGTGGCTCACCCGTTACTACGCCAAATGCGAACCGTCGTCGACCTACTCCATCACCAGCCGCCCCTCCCAAGCAACGGGCACCGATCTCTACTTCAGGCCCGAGCACAGCATTAAAACATCACGGCCAGGTACCACTTGATACCGAGTCTGTCATGAAAGCTTTGCGCATCATTTACCGAACAGAAGGCCTTGCAGGGTGGTTTCGAGGAGTTGGGCCGAGAGGAGTTTGGACCAGTATACAAAGTGGATGCATGTTGGTTGTATACCAAAAGCTGCTGCGATGGTTCGATGCAAACCCACTAGTAAAGATTGAAGACGAGGACGGCTTGCGAGGATTCAGCTAGTCACAAGACCCCTCGGGAAAGAGCTCCTGTTATTTGTACGATTGCATTGCAGTGTTGCATGGACATGGCGTTGGAGCAAGGTACAGCTGAGCAACAGAAAGGTGCTCGGCACTGAGAAAGCTATGCAAAGCGACAGTCTTTGCAGTGTATGTATAGATTCCCTGCATCTGAAATATTCACACCACTTCATTGTCATCCGCCTTGCTAGGCAGAATCGCTCCACGGCGAAAGCTGGGCTTGTCGAAGACCTCGTGAGAGTACCACACGTCACTGTTGGCACCTCTCTTTCGTTGACCAAAGGAGCGCACAGCAACACCCCAATCTCGATGAGGCAGTGAAGCCTGGTACTTGGATAAAGCTTTTTGCTTCGAGCTGGACTTCAGATTTCTTCCCGGACAGCTTATGGCAACTCCAAATCTACAACCGCGAGAAGGATCACCTGCATTTCTGTGAATCTCAAGACTGACCCGGCCTTGAAGAATGGCTGTAAGTCGCACAACAATGGACTGACCCGCTCGAGACAATTTCCAATCTCAGAGATACACATGACCGGGGATTCTTGCGAAAACCATTTGAGTCAGCTCTGGTTGCGAGCTGATCAAGAGAAACCCGCCATGAGACCTTATTCCAGTCCTGCAACACCTCCGAACTAGTCAAATTTTCCTTCTATCTGGCCATGAGTGATCCAGGCGGAATCATGGCAAATTGAGTTTGTACCTGCATTAGACCTATCCCCGCATGGCACCTACTCATTCACATAGCGACGTCAGATCTCAGCCCGTGAGCGAGCTCTTCATCGACATGGTTTCTACGTCTTGATAGCTGCCCTCCACCGAGTACCCAAAACGTCAGAGTACCGTCCAACTATATTATCTGAAGTCCTCGTTCTCGATCATATCATGTCTCCAGCTAAGAAGGACAGTTGGAACGGAGCCTCATACGCAAAGAATCTCTCCCACATAGCAGCACTTTCCGGGCCCGTACAAGCTCTTCTCACACCTCAGCCTACAGACACAATCCTGGACATTGGTAGCGGTGATGGAGCAATCACAGATCTGCTATCTAAGAAGGTCCCACAAGGCGCAGTCGTCGGCCTTGACGCCTCGAAATCAATGGTCGAGCATGCAATCAAGACTCACACAGATACCGCCAAGCCCACAGGAAACTTGAGATTCATCGAACACGATTGTTCCGACCTCAACGACCCGCCTTCAGAAGACGGAGGTCTTGGCGTAATTCCTTGGGGTGAAGGATGGGATTGGGTCTTCAGTAATTCGACGTTTCACTGGATACTAGGCTCTTCTTTGGCTCGAGAGGCTACGTTACCAAACATCTATCGACTCCTGAAACCTGGTGGTCACTTGATCTGCGAGCTTGGAGGTGCAGGACATGTGGCGGAGGCCGTGACTGCTTTCATGGCTTTGCTTGCTCACTATGGCATTCCTCAGGAGCGGAGAAGGGAAATCATGCCTTGGTTCTTTCCTACTGCTCACTGGATGAGAAATGCACTGCAAGATGCTGGATTCAAGGTTGAGGAGTGCGGCCTACACTTTCGGCCGACGAAGGTCGAGAACCTGAAGGCTTGGGTGGAAACTCTGGGATTTGTGTTTCTAGATGCTGTCGAAGAGGTTGCGCCAGGAAAGAGGGATGAGGCGGTGGATTGGGTGGTGAACGTTCTAGGGGATGCGGTCGACAGAAGTCAGGAGGAGGGTGGCATTGTGCTTGGGTACATGAGGCTGAGAGTCAGGGCGAAGAAATTGGAGTAGGATCCTCTAGTCGTGCATAAGGAGAAGGAGACTTCATGGCATGTGAAAGCTGTGACCTTCACTTGCCGGAAGCCTACGTCATTCTCCGCCTCGCTCTTCAACCCGACTCCAGCTGGGGAAGCTGAACCTTGACAACGACGTCTGTCCGTTCCCAGATAGTATCGCCATGGCGGACTCAAAGAAGCCAAACCTCTTGAGCATCGCACCCGAACTGCGCGAAGCCATCTACAGCGCCGCCCTCTCCGAAGTCAAAGTCTACCAAATCAAGACTCGATTCATCAAGAACAAGCAGCTCCGCCCCTTCTACGACCAGTGGCTCGTACCTCTCGGCGAAATAGGCATTACGCGCTTTTGCCGTCAAGTCAGCCGCGAGCTCACGTCCCGCATTTTACACGAAGCCATCACCTCTGGACACTCTAAGATTATCGCCGATGTTCAGGACCTAGATTTCCGACCACTACAGGCTTTCATCAAGTCTCTCAGCCAAATTCAGAAGCAGCGCCTGAGCGCTAGTCCACAACCTAAGCTGATCGCGCTTCTGAACTTCTCAAATACTAAGACACTTGATGCGAAGAGGCTTGGAGAATGGCTGAAGTGCCAGAAACAGGTGGACATGGCGGTTACCTATCATGTTGGCGCTCTGGAGGATGGCACGAGCTGCGCTGCCCTGCTTGAGAGCCTTCGCGAGTATTGCCTTGATTATGGAGGGGATGGCGAGATCAAAAAGCTCTGCACCGCAGTTGCGAAATTTCAGGCGAACCCAGCTGCACATGATCGTGAACTGGAGAAGTGGTATGGCGGCCCTGTAGGAGGCAATCGCGAGGTCACGGTTCAAAACATGGAGGGGACTGAGTCTGGAGGCGGGGATTCCGTGGAGATTGACAATGGCGACGAGGAAGAAGCTGAAGAGGAAGACGAGGAAGAGTCTTTGGACTCGGGCATGATGTCTAGCGATGATGACGAGGAATGATGGCATCAGTATAGATGGCAGTCGTGGGACTAGGCTTGCTGGAAGCTAGAATATCCGACGAAATGACTCCAACTTCAGGCTCGATTGTCGAGAAATTGACCTCTAGCCCTTTGAAGTCCCAAATTTCCAGCTCCCCGAGGCTGAGGACCCTCAGGACTCATCTGGTTCCGTATCCGACGTGATCGTCGCGGTCTAGGGTGCCTCGACCATCCTGTACCCATCTCTACAAGACATCGCATGTTACCGCATCCCATACAACTAAGAATGTCAGTAGCTGTGACGCGAATATGGACGATGGAGCAAGCTTACAGTAGTACTTCCGCCTCATGAGGGTTTACATCAGCATCACCACCGCAGTGGCAAGCCCTGTGACTTGAGCTTTTGTCGCGGTCACGCCGTCGTTTGGTAGCTCCAGATGCAATGCAGATTCTGCCGTCCTTGGTTCGACTCAATGTCCTTAGCCACTGGTCATTGGCTTCTCTTGCTGCTAACAATGCATTCACAATGTCCAAATGGTCAGATAGGCAATATCTCTCCTTAAGCATTCCAGCGGGGGCCATTGGTAGATTTACAGAATCGACAGGTGGCTGAACGTTTACAGCTGCGATTGGAATTCCGCCTGGTGGCTGAGGAGGTTGATGATTGGCAGGTATAGGAGGTTGTCCTGGACCAGGCCATCCGACAGCTCTGATGCAGGTGCAAAGATTCATTGGGTAGTTCCATGCTTGGCGAGCCGACGGCGGAGAGGGAACACCGATATTGAGGTCAAAAATCCGACGAGCAAACCTTTCCTGTTCGGTCCTCTCACATGGTCTACATAATCTTGTCCAGAAAGCGTCAAATACAGTTCCCGCAGCACCTACAACTGGCACTGGCCACGGTCGAGTCGATGGATCTCCCGCTCTCATCGGATTGCCATCCGGACGGCCTTCTGGCGACTTCTTCGTCAAGGCTTCGTAGACGGCAGTAGCACTCGCTAGCCCTGTGGTGATGTCGTAGCACTGGCCGCATACATCCTCATTAGGCCACGCATGGTAAGGGCTTGTGTGGTTTGTGCATCTTTGTCGCATCCAGTGTACATTCGGCGGGAGACCAGTTCCAGCTGGCGCAGCGAGGCCATTTGTGCAAGCTCCCAATGGAGCACCAGCTTGCAGACCGTCAACGCATGGCACTGCCATCGAGAAGATTAATCAGGTAGTAAGGTCCTGAATCCATGCTGAAGGTCACCATTTGAGGTGAATCCAATTGCACAGATCCAGAACAAAGAGTCAGAGTACCGCATCTGGACAGATGAAGCTGCCGGATAAAGAATGTGGGATCAGAAAGACGAACAAGTCTGCCATTGCATTGTGCTAGCGAATATCTCAGATACACCTATCGACCCCTTGAGCTGGACTTGTATTCGCATCTTGAGACGCTCCGTCACTTTTGCATGGCCTGTTGTATTTTTCTCGGTCATGGTCGAATTGTTGTGGTCGTCGTCCGCGAACAGTCGCTGCCTCTTTTCCTCGCGTGATCAAGCAAGAATCCAGAGAACTTTCAGGCCACTATGAAGTGCAACGATAGGATATTGGCTTGACGTTCTCTCACCAATGATGACTACTTTCCTCAATGTATGCAACGATGAATACATGTATGTATTTCGCGTCGTCCAGACCAGACGGACGTTGCTCCATCGCTCGTGGCTTGACGAATATGACGTCACGCGTCGAGACGGTGTCCCCCTGGCCCTTGCACATTGCCAGGTTCAACAAAGTCTCTACTATAGCACCGCACGCACTACGAGATGCATTCCTCAGTGATCAGAGTCGCTCTTCGCAGCAACGTCAAACCATCATATACATGTACCACACGATGCTTTTCCACCACGCCGTCACTGCACGCCAAGAACCGCATTTGGCCAGCACGCGTCCGCAACGAAAGCGATCTCCATTCCCTGATCCTGAGCAGCGCAAGCACACGCGTGCCATTGCTGACGCTATGGATGACCACCTGGAGCCGGGAGTCCGATGAAGTCTCTCCAATCTTGCGAGAGCTCGTTGAGAAAGACGGCGTCGGGGAAAGCAAAGGCGCAGTTTCCTTTGTGGAGGTTGAGATGGATAGCCCAGATCTAGGTGGAATTTCTGGCGTTGCCCAGAGATATGGAATCAACCAAATCCCTACGCTGCTCGCGTTCGATCGCCAAGAGCCTCAGATTGAGACGAAGGTGTCGAATCTTGAGGATTTGAAGGACAGGGAGTTTTTGACGAGATGGATCGAGACCGAGGCTGCTAGGCATGGCTCTGGCGGTGCAGGAGGTAGATTCTTTGGTTTGTTTGGGCGGTAACGTGTCAGGACTCGACCAAAGCTGGAGATACGCAATCCAGGTTGACATCCAGATGCTCAATAGACTTCCGTGCTCAATCCCGTCTCTAATTGCCCATTGCCTTTTCCGTGACCGAATCATGCCTGATACTGTGATGCTTCTCTGCATCTTCTGTCACAGAGCTTGATGCGAGCATGTGCAGACTCTCAGCCTCGGCGAATAGTGGCCGACTTGGAGGCATTTCTTGGCAACGCGGCGCATCAGCGGTGGGCGGAGCATCCAAATCAGCGCTACTCGCCGGTGCAGTGCCCTCCTCTGCCTTTTCGTCTCCAGTATCGGGTTCGTCGAGACTGACAATGGCCTTGGCCGGGTCGTGGGTCGTGCTGATTGTCGTCCTGGCGAAGAGTTGCTGCAGGAGCATAGCATCTGTGGCTTCAGCCTTCTCAGCGATCTCATGTCTCGGCGCTGGACCCGCAGCCTGTTTGAAATTGCTTTGTCTCCTTCTCAGATAGTAACGAGAAGACTCGATTTCCTTTCGCTTCTTTTCCTTATCTTTACGCTCGTTGCCGTCCGTCTTGGTATCCTCAAGCGTGCCTCCTGCAGCAATGTAGTCCTGTTCAGACATTTTTGACCAGAAAGGCCGGTCTCTCGAACAGCGTGCGTTGAGAAGGTCGCACGCTCTTTCAAATTCAGCATAGAAAGATTTAGCATCCTGAGAGTCCGCTCCACAAGAGACTTCCACTTCTTTGTAGTCTCTCCAGAATTTATCAGTCCATTTCTGCTTGGAACAAGGCGGGCAATAGCGTTTTATCTGTATCATGGGAGAGGTGTCAACGTTCGAGCAGGTGTAGTCTTCTTGAGGAGATCTCCTGTGTAAGCAAGACGAGACTCGGTGGATGTATGTGTGGCCGCACTGAAACTTCTGGGCTCTGATTCTGCACATTTTGGTCGGACGCGCAGGTGTAAATTTGCTCCTGCTGTATCGGTGCCCTCGTAGTAGACGTCAAGTGTGATGAGGTGAAAAGGCAGACAGCACGGTAATAGAAATATAGTCCAAGCTGGAAGTTCGAGTCGCTGAGGAAAAAGTGAATGCTGAAACTGTGGCATTCTTTTATCATAGGCCAAGACACGACCACTGTGAATTATCACGGCAGCTCGTGAGGACGGCACTCACAGAACGTGAGCAATCTTGTGAAAATGTTCTCGCGTCCTCAGTTTAAGTGACAGGGAAGTGAATACTGTGAAGATGTCCGCGGCTTTCTGAAGCAGCCATACTGGTACTAAGGTGCAAGTTCGCCACGCCTATTATCAAGCCATGAGGTTCTTTCGAGTACCTCGTGAACCACTCGTTGAGCAGACGGGTCCCCATGGTACAGAATTTGAGCCGAAAGGTAAGTTTTGCGAATCGAAGCGACGTTCCAGCAAGCCGTGCGGAGTTTCCATGATTGCAAATTCAACAAGTCCTGTCGGTCTGGTTCGCTTCACCCGGCAGTGATATTGGCTAAATTTGGATCCAGTGCCAGACGTGGTCAGATCGCGGCCTATATCATTCGTGCTTACTCAGATGGAGCCGGACCTGTCCAGATGCATTGTACAGATAGCGGGTAGCTTATAGTTGAAGCTCGCCAATAGCAAGCCACGACAACGCGAATAAGGCAGTACGGTCGCTTGATAGCTTCAGCGAAACGGTGGTTGTGTGCTGGCGGATGACTGGATCTAAAACGCGTTAGTGCCTGAAATTGTATCAGTTCTCAATAAACTATGCGGCTTTGCCTGAGGACAACTCTGCGCCGCCTTGACAAGGCAGCTTAAAGCCCTCCTCTTCTCTCGAGCTTGCTAATTGCTGTCTATGCCAAGTCAGCAGCTTCAAGCTGATCGTGATCAGATCCAACTGCGAGCTGCAGCATGGGCGGAACCACAGGGAAAAGAAATTGTCTCTCACGCCTGCTTAGAACGATTTGCCGGGGACTGCCACGCCGAGCGAAGAAGGAATGCCAGTACTGCTGCGAGAGTAAGGCGCGCAAGGCCTTCGCAGCCGACGGGCTCGTACCTCTTGGCTGTCAATCTCACCTCAAGGCCGTGTGCAGAACTTGCGTCCAAACTTCGCTGCGTACACAGCTCGAGAATCGACCTCTCCTCGAAGTTGGCTGCCCGCAATGCACGCTCTCGTGGGATAGGCGACACGTGCGCGCACTTCTTGGACCCGGAGACCGGAAGCGGTTCCAGAAGCATGATCTGATGGCTCGAGGACGCAGCTTCGTGCCAAAGGCAGAGCAGATGCCGGAAAAGGCGACAATGGATTTGATGCTGGATCAAGGCGCAAGGCTATGTCCGTGGTGTCGATTTCCTTTCATCAAAGAAGGAGGATGCAATCACATAAGCTGTGCGTGCTCAAGTCCTGCAAAAACAGATGATCCGCTGACAGGTTGGCAGGCTTGAAATGCGACAGAGGATTCCCGATCGAATACGCGCTCGTACTGGAGAATGAAGAAGGCAGACGTGCTGCAAATGTGTTATCAGATGACTATCCTGTGGAAGGGTGGGTCGCCGTAGCTGCACTCTTGCCCACGTAATCTGCCCACTAGGACGTACATCCATTCTCTCTGAGGTCGCCACGCTTCCTAGCATGAGCACGAACGCCAAGAAGTCTTGATATGAGGTTTTGGAGGCGGCATGTCGGAGACTCAAATCGTAGCACTGGCACAAGTGCTGCTGAGGGACTATATGAAGCAGAGCGAGAGTAGGGCAGGCTAGCAGAGAGAGTGTGTCGTGGCAATGGCCGGCAGGGATATCACCGACCAGCATGAATTGAGGTGGTAGCGTAGGACAAGTATTTCCATGGCATCAATGAATACTGGGCAGAGCAATTGAACAATGATCGTGTTCATCTTCAAAGCTGCAGTGCCAGGTGTAGGAAGCCGAGTATCGATATGGCGTGTCGCCGAGAGGTGTTGTTGGAGCACTGGAGCACGAGATGGCTGAGAAGGCGCACATTGGCTGAAGCAGATGGCAAGAAGGGCCCGAGCAATAATCTGCAGGCCGTAAAATGAATCATGAAGGGGGTGCTGCTGAAACCAAGACCAGGCGCAACAAATGGTAGATGTGCAACGTCATTGCTTACTGCGTCCTTCTCTGCCCTGCTTATGTCATGTTATGAACGATACGAGGCGTGTGATTAGCACATGCAAGTGGACGCTTGGACTCGTGTCTCGTCGGCCGTGGAAGATACTGCAGAAACGAAGAAGAAAGTCCAAACGCCTCCTCCACCGCCATCCAGCGCACAGACTTTCTCAGCATTCCGCACGTTTGCTCGCGTTTCGCAAAATCTGGAGCCCTGTCGCACACCGCACACGAAACGAAATACAGGCGAAAACGCCTGGCTTGGCTTGGCGCTGCTGACCATGCTGTGCTGATGAGAGTACTAATAAGAGCACCGAGAGCACTGCGCCTTCAGCTCGCTCGCATTTTCTAAGGAGTCGTTCGCTGTCCTCGCGACCAATCATCGCTGTCCGTGACAAGAAAAGGCGCCGGGCCAACCCGTTTCCGCCCCACCAAATTCTTGCAGGGGCGACCAAGGCGAGGGTCGAGGGCTTATAAAAATTTCCCACGCACCAACGCCTGCGCCTTTTCTCTCCCTCCGACACCCAACTTCCCCCCTTCTTTGACCCCCCCCTCGAAACTGCTCGCCATGTCTGACAAGCAGGTTCAGAAGGAGAACGCTCAGAGCACGAAAGTGCTCGACGAGCTCCTCTCGAAATTGTCCCTCTCCAAGACCGCCGACGAGGCCAAGTCCACGTCGCACGATATCGCCACCTTTATCAATGGCGAAATCCAGGAGCACACCGCGCCCACCAAGGCCGTCGACAGCCTGAAGAAGATGCTCACCAACAAGAAGGATGCCAACGCACGCCAGTTCGCCTGCGAGGCCATCGCCACCATCGCGAAGCACTCCGACGTCTCGCCCACCGTCGAGCCATACCTCGTCCAGCTCCTCCCGAACGTGCTGGCTGCCGTTGGCGACAAGATGGCCACCGTCAAGGTTGCCGCTCAAGACGCCGCCCTTTCCATCACCAAGGCCGTCAACGCCAACGCCGTCAAGCTCCTTATCCCACACTTCATCCACTCCATCCACAACGCACAGAAGTGGCCCGAAAAGATGACCGATCTCGAGTGCATCGAGGCTCTCTGCGAGAGCGCTCCAGCACAGGCTGCATACCAGGTGCCAAACCTCATTCCCATCGTCTCCGAGGCTATGTGGGACACCAAGCCCGAGGTCAAGAAGCGCGCATACTCCACCATGGAGAAGGTGTGCCAGCTTATCGTCAACAAGGATATCGAGCGCTTCATTCCTGAGCTCATCAAGTGTATCGCCAAGCCAGAGAACGTCCCGGAGACGGTCCACTTGCTCGGTGCTACCACCTTCGTCACTGACGTCCACGAGCCCACCCTCGCCATCATGGTGCCTCTGCTCGAGCGTGGCCTCAAGGAGCGCGAGACCGCCATCAAGCGTAAATCCGCCGTCATCATCGACAACATGTGCAAGCTCGTCGAGGATCCCAACATTGTTGCCGCTTTCTTGCCAAAGCTGATGCCGCAACTCACACAAAACTACGACAACTTGGCTGATCCGGAGGCCCGTGAGAAGACCAAGCAGGGTCTTGACACTCTCATCCGTGTCGGTGCTGTCAAGGATGGCAAGATTCCAGAGGTCTCCCACGCCGGTGACGTTGCCACCATCGCCCCTAAGCTCAAGGACATCCTCAGCTACAAGCACAAGGATGCCGCCGAGAAGTTCCCTGCCGTTATCGAATTCATCGCCGCCATCGCCGGTCAGCTCATCGACGAGAAGGAGAGCGAGGACGTTGCTTGGATCACCCAGCTCAAGCCATACGTGGTCGCAATCATTGGCGACGCTGATGCTGAGGGTATTATCAACACTCTCCGCAAGCGTGCGTCTCCATTGGCAGCCGCTGAGGACGAGGTTGAGCCTGATGAGGAGGAGGGCGAGGACCTTTGCAACTGCACATTCAACTTGGCCTACGGTGCTAAGATTCTGCTCAACTCTACACATCTCCGCCTCAAGCGCGGTCAGCGATACGGTCTTCTCGGTCCAAACGGTTCCGGAAAGACCACCCTCATGCGAGCCATCAACAACGAGCAGGTCGAAGGTTTCCCCAAGCAGAGCGAAGTCAAGACTGTCTACGTCGAGCACGATTTGGACGCTGCTGACACTGAGCTTACCACCATGGATTGGACCTCTATGAAGCTCAAGCAGGCTGGTCTCGATCTCTCTGAGGACGAGATCCGCAAGACTCTCCTCGAGTTCGGTTTCGTTGACGCCCAGATTGACGGTGTCATCACTGCCCTTTCTGGTGGTTGGAAGATGAAGCTCGCCCTTGCGCGTGCCGTTTTCGAGAAGCCAGACATCCTTCTGCTTGACGAGCCAACCAACCACTTGGACGTGAAGAACGTCAAGTGGCTCGAAGACTACCTGATCAACTCGCCTTGCACATCCATCATCATTTCGCACGACAGCAAATTCCTCGACAACGTCATTCAGCACGTTATCCACTACGAGCGCTTCAAGCTCAAGCGCTACCGTGGCAAGCTCAGCGAGTTCGTCAAGCGCGTGCCATCCGCCAAGTCCTACTACGAGCTTGGTGCCTCCGAGATGGAGTTCAAGTTCCCAGAGCCAGGTTTCCTTGAGGGCGTCAAGACCAAGGCTAAGGCCATCGTCCGTGTCAGCAACATGGAATTCCAGTATCCAGGTACTCCAAAGCCACAAATTAGCGAGATCAACTTCCAGTGCTCGCTTGGCTCCCGTATCGCTGTCATTGGTCCAAACGGTGCCGGAAAGTCTACCCTCGTCAACGTCCTTACTGGTGAGCTGATCCCAACCAAGGGTGACGTCTACCAGCACGAGAACATCCGTATTGCATACATCAAGCAGCACGCGTTCGCTCACATCGACCACCACCTCGATTTGACTCCATCTGAGTATATTCAGTGGCGTTTCCAGACTGGTGAGGACCGTGAGACTATGGACCGTGCCAACAAGGTCGTCACTGAAGACGACGAGAAGGCCATGGACAAGATCTACAAGATCGAGGGTTCCCAGCGTCGCGTCATTGGTGTGCATTCGCGAAGAAAGTTCAAGAACTCCTACGAGTACGAGTGTTCGTTCGCTCTCGGTGAGAACGTCGGTATTCAGGGCAAGGAGCGCTGGACACCTATGATGACTGCTGACAATGCCTGGATTCCACGAAACGAGCTTATCGCATCTCACCAGAAGATGGTTGCTGAGGTCGATCAGAAGGAGGCACTCGCCAGCGGTCAGTTCCGTCCTCTGGTCCGCAAGGAGATTGAGGCTCACTGCGCCAACTTCGGTCTCGACGCTGAGCTTGTGTCTCACTCCCGCATGCGCGGTCTCTCTGGTGGTCAGCGTGTCAAGGTCGTGCTTGCTGCTTGCTCATGGCAACGTCCTCACTTGATCGTCCTTGACGAGCCAACCAACTACCTCGACCGTGACTCTCTTGGTGCTCTCTCCAAGGCCATCAAGGCATTCGAGGGTGGTGTCATCATCATCACTCACTCTGCTGAGTTCACCAAGGACTTGACCGAGGAAGTCTGGGCTGTCATGGACGGCAAGATGACTCCATCTGGCCACAACTGGGTGCAGGGTCAAGGTGCTGGTCCTCGTCTGAAGCAGGAAGATGACGAGGAGGAGAAGTTCGATGCTATGGGCAACAAGATCGAGAACACCAAGAAGCAGAAGAAGCTCACATCAGCAGAGCTCCGAAAGAAGAAGAAGGACCGGATGGCCCGCCGCAAGCGTGGTGAGGAGGTCTTTTCTGATGAGGATGACTAGAGGTGTGCGAGGCTCAAGCTCTTGCAGAGCAACTAATGCATTGGAAGCGTAAAGGCGTTTTACGGATCATGAGGGTTTTTACAGGCATGAAGAGGTTACGAAAGCAAGATTCCCATACCTTTTGAATGTCTAGAAGGGATAGAGAGTAGATTCCTTTGTAACGAAAAGTGGTTTCAAGTCCAATACGCTTATCATGTTCTCATGTCTTCTACCGTCGTCGGCTGGACGCTGTAGCAATCGTAGCATCAAGTATTCGAAGCAATTTGTCTTCGCCTGCGCCCTCCGGCATCATATCCTTCGGGCTCACTTCGCGCCCTGCGTGTGATGCCGCACAGACCAAGTGTCGCTATTGTAGATGCCTCCCTCGAAAGTTCCATCGATCGCGACAACACCATCTACACCTTGCACCAGATCAGCGACTACTATGGCGCATGCCGACATCGTCTCGACGCTCAATTTGTTCAATCTGCCATACGATCCAGAGTTCGATGAAGAACAAGAGTGGACTCCTGAAGAGTTCAAATGGTTCTTTCGACTGGTAGACCTGAGGCTGAATGCCCATCTCGCTACCCTATACCATCCAAAGACTCCGCCGCCACAAGGCCGGAAGAACATCTTCTCTCTTCGCAAAGAGGAGCTCGTGCATATCTACTACTTTACACCAATCTCGGCGTTGCTTTCGCTACGACTGGTCAGCAAACGGTTTGAGAAATCGGCAACTGCTCGCCTCGAGTGTCTAGATGTCTTTCCAGATATCTGTCGGAAGGATGGTTGGCGGGCTGCGTATGACCGGCAGAACGACGTTTAAACTGAGCAACTCGTGGCTAGGGACTGCTGGTGGACTGATGTCGGGTCTAACAACTCGTTGTTGTCACTGTCGCTTTCTGGTGATGACTTGGCTCACTTTCAGCCTCGCATCTGATGCCGCATAGAACTGCTGCAAGCACGTTTGAGCCCCTCTCGCTTCTGCAGCGTTTGGATGACGACAACACTGGATGGACATCACTCGTATCTACCAGGATGACACTGCTCGAGACGCTTCGACAAGGCGCAGATTCCGCCCTCCATTGGAGTCGCTCTCGTAAGAAGAATAAATTGGCACCAGCGACACAGAAGACAGTTGATGCAGCAGAACTCCCTTCACGATCTTTGATATCTGCAACATGTTCACCTTCCTCGACATCGACGACCCCAACACTATCAGAACATGACCCCGACGTCAGGTACAAGAACAACAGCGTCGTTATCAAGGACTGCGACTGGGCCAGCGTCAGATTAGTTGACTGCCGACTCGACAATGTTACTTTCGAGGGCTTCGACAGAAAATTGGAAAAACACCACGCAAGTCGAGATGATCGTGTGGCCTGCTGCAGAAAAGTCCTCGATTGGCAGGGTTGGAATGGAAGTCAAAGGGGTCGGTACTTCTTAGGGCATTTCGCGCGACTACCTTTGAGCATGCAGGCGACGCTGACGATCGTTGGCGAGGACAAGGGTACTGTGAGGCGGTCATTTACGACAGCGCTCCGGAAAGAGATCAACGAGCGTAGAGCCGTTTGTGAGAATCTCGCTGTTCCCGTCTATGGCCCTTGCTGTGGGAAGAAAGAGCTGCGCGAATTCTGCTAGTGGAGGAGAAGCCAGGACTCAGCTCAAGCTAGCGATTGAATGCGATCATTCTCGGTGGACGTGAAAGTGTCTTTGGTTGCTTATTCGTTCCTGCTAAAGAAGGTCGTCTCAGTAGGTACGAAGACCTTATGGCCATCAGTCTCGATCTGGGTATCATTTCACATCGTCAGTAGCCGCTCCGAACTTTTCCTAATTTACAAAAGTGAAGAAACGCCGGTGTTCCTTCCCATGCGTTGTTCTGGTGAGCTTAGTATGCTACTCTGGTCCTCATCTCTTGCACCTTCTTCTCAATCTCTTTGACGCTTCGGTCGACTTCTGCAGCGATCTTCTGCTTGGTGTCATAACTTAGACCCATGAAGCGTTCGAGCAAGTCGCCATCGATGACTCCCTTTACTGGCACATAGTATGAGCGGTACATGAGGTGATCTCTTCCAGCAAGTGGGGGGTCCTCCGTGCGCATTTGCTGCTCTAGCGCAGTGAAGAATTCGACATCCTCACGAGTGACGAAGGGAATGAGAATGCCGAGAGTGCCTTGGAGACCAGACCAGAAGAGGACTTCCTGTCCACCAGCCACAAGTGCAGTGCGCTGCATGCTCATTGGAATGTCCTGGCAGAAGTAGTGCGCCCGGAGGTCAAGTCGATATGGCGCGCCATTGAGGTAGCTGCGTTCATTCATAATGTATCCGCCAGCACCTTCTTCATCGGCTTCTTGGCTAGGCTGCTCGGGGCATCGCACAATCCACAGGTTGCCGAACTTGTCACCTCCCGCTGCAGTTTCATAGTCGACCATCGTCGTCGTGGTAGTCCAGCGCTGAACTGTATCATCCACGAATGGGATCAGTCGGTTGAAGGTAGGCTTGTAGACCAAGTATGTCACGCCTTCGCTGACATCGCCGCAGATTATGCGATTGCCCTGCGATTCCAGCGAAACGATCTGATTCGGCACAGCAATATTTCGTGCTTTCCGGAGCAGCGCCTTCATACCCATGTCATATATGAACAGCTCGTTGCCAACTCCAAGAGCAAGTCGCCCGCGGAACGGCATGAGCGCGTATACAGGGAGCTCGAACTTTGTCTTGTGCACAAATTCCAGCTCAGCGCCATCTTTAAGCAGCTTGTAGATGTGCACATAACCCGCCGTTTGTACTCCTGTGCCAGGTTGCATGTGCTGTCCTGTACCAACGGCGAGGTAAACTTCCCAATTCTTGGACTCAAAAGCGACGCATGCGCATGAAAGTGCGGCTTCGTTCTCTCCAAGCTCGATCGTACACGTAACTTCCCGTCCTCCGATCGGATCGACTGCTTGGATGCAGGACGCCCAGTGACCATTGCCGCGTGGGAGTCCGAGATGTCTCTCCATCGCCTTCGCTTCGTCGTCGTCTCCTATGCTCTTGCCACGCAATTGATCGCGCGTAGCTTGGGAAAGCGTATTTCCTTCGCTTTGCGCGACATACCAGAGTGGATACCAAGGATTTCGGGTCATTGATCGCGGCGTATACTGAAGCGACACAGAGCTGTGCGACAATCTGCCTTCAATCGATGGGATAGAGAAGATTAGTAGTGATGAGCCTTGGATCGCGCAGAGGCCCTTGAGTTCAGGACTGGAGAAAGACCGGGCCGCCTCCATCGGCTCTGCTATGAGGGGTGTGACGGTGTAGAGTTTCGACTGAGGATGATTGTATCCCAGCCAGGGTCTGCTAGAGCATGCAAGCACGCAGTCCTCTCCATCCACTTCTACAGGGCACAATCGGGGTGGCTTGGTGCCTAGGAACTTGGTCCGCACATCACCAAGCTCACCAGTAGTCTCGTCAATGATAGCTCGCAGGTAGAGTCCAGATCTCAGTCCGATGTGCACAACATTGACAGTAGTGCCAGAAGCAGGATCCAGCATCTCTACGACCTCGAGCGAAGTCGGGACTGCCGATAGAGCCTGCACACTGCGCGCCTCTAATGGTGAGTCCAACTCAATACTGAGGACACGGATAGTGCAATCCTCGCAGCCCACAACAGCATATTTAGCTTGTTGTCGACCTTTCGGGGTCTGCCCGACAGAAATTGCGGTGATTTTGCCACTCATTTCCGGCATTTCCTCGAGCTGAATCAGGATACCATCTTCGCCCATGAAAAAGAAAGCAAGCTCGGCAGAGCTTAAAGCCAGTAGCAATTGTCTCTCATTTGCAGAAGCCGCAGCGACAGTTCGATGTGGTGGAGTCGGCCATTCGTTGAAGGCTCCTGTTTCCAAAATAGATCGAATGCCTCTCGCGTGCACCTGCACGAGCGTAGAATCGCCCATCTGCTGTGCATGAACAGTGGCCCGATTCTCAAGGAAAGGAGAATTCTCGATCTGCTCGACTGAATCACCAATGGAGCAAGCGACGGTCAGGTCGCCGTAGCTACTGCTGATGATGAGGTATTTGTGATGTTCGTCGCTCGATCTGTGCTTGAAAGTCCAAATACCATCATAAGGCACATTGCCCATATTGTTGTCAATCATAATCTCAACATCCAGTCCATGCCGAATCGTTTTGAACAAGCTCTTGTTTCCGGTACCTTGGATACCGTAGATTTGCGGCGCATCCTCACCAGTTAGGTTGTCGACTTTCGTCCGCATCAAAGGATGGAGACCGGGCACATCCACAGCCAAATGCGTCATCGTGAGCTCGCGAGGCTGGAAGTAGGTAGGCTCATATGCTTCAGCAGGGTCGGGAGATACACCGTCCGATGTGAAATTGTTGTGTGGCTCAAATTCGAGATCATCGGCTAGGTCGTCAACGTGGTACAATTGACTGTTGCCATTTTCCGTGGCAATGTACAGGAAGCCTTTCTTGTGCAGGAGCATCTGTTTCGCGATGGGAAATGTGTCGTAGTACTTCAAGATGATCTGCTCAGGATCTGCAGTTTGTCGGCCCTGCGCATCCACGGCCATGGTGATGTTGAGCTTGAAGACGTCGCCGTCCTCGGTTTGAAGGAGGAAGAAAAATTCTTTTCTCGATGCCGCAAGATGGAGACAGCTTGCCACAATGTATCGTTTCCGATTTGGGTCTTCGGTTGCACCTTTGCGCCTGGGAATGGGAATAGCTAGAGATGCAGCCTTGTCGTGCTTGTAGTAGATGCGGTCTTCACAGCACACCAGTACACCTGAAGGGCCATTCTGTCCTCCTGGAACACCGATAAGCATATTGGCGCTGTAATCGACCGGCTCGCTCCAAGTCTTCACAACATGGTTCAAGCCCATGTCGACTGTGTAGTAGACCAGCTGCTTCTCCCTTCGCTCGTATGCTTCACCACTTGGATCGCTTTCCGCCTCGGTGTACTCGACTTCCAACGCTGCAAAAATTGGTGGCTCCCAGCCAGTGTCTAGAGCACAAATAGCGAAGCACAAGCTTCCCCACTGATTGGCCTCGTGCGGGCTCGATATGAGAATGTTGCCATCGGCGGCACGATTGAGCATGTAGACGACCTTGTTCTTCTCGACACTTGCAAGCATGATGCATCGTCCACGAGTATCGCTTGCCAAATATTGCCCAGGAATGGTACGGCGCACGCCTGATTTGCCATATGTCTCGAGGTGCTCGCGCTTGAACTTTTGCTTGTCGTGTTCGTAGGTGAGCATCGTCACTCGGCCAGAGTCTGAAGCGATCACAAGCTGATCTGGAACATCATGTTAGCATTCAGTATGTCCCTTTGATGCGGAAAGAGGGGTTCGCCAGAGACTCCAAGCGCATCCTCGCAGAGAGCGCAGAAGACTCGCGCATTCGACGGGACGCTGTGGGCAACAGCCATCACTATGTGTTCTCGCTCGACTGCGGTGAGGATTCACTAACCTGTTGATGTTCCTGGAATGCGAAATGCCGCGACTCCGCGCACGATGCCGAAGACATCTTGATCGCAGACTGTCACCAGTTTGCGATCTCCTCCGTCGACGCCCTGCACAATGCGGTGCAGCATCACATGTTGGCCTCGAGCTTCGAAGATTTGCTGGTCGCCGGCCTTGAGCCCAGGAATGGCATTGCACAGAACGGCGGCTGCAGGTGCGGACGGCTGTTCGAGAGTGAGCGCATAGAAGGCCTGCGACTGGTTGACGTTGGCCATCGCGGCCGCTGTTGTTGGTGTTGTCGCGCTGGATGCCGCGTTCTGTTTCTTCTTCTCGCTTGCTCGTCTCGTGTCGCGAAGAAAGTTGAGCTGCAGCGAGTCAAGCGCCAAGAAATCCAGAAGCCCGCTCGGAGCTCGGACCGGCGGGCAGACATCTCCAAATGGCATGGCATGATCATGGTATAGACAGCAGCTTCGTGCGTCGTCGACCTTGAGCTGCAACCATCCCAGCCTAGGAGAAGATCCCATGGCGTCGAAATTGATATGTGGTCGGTGCCTCCGACTGGCAGCATCCGGCGCCTCATCAGCATCAACACGAACAATTGCAACAGCGGGCAGACGAACGTTCACTTCAGCAGCATCGAAACCGCCCGCCGCGAAGACCCGCAAGCTTCACTCATCATCACGGCAGAAGGCTTCTCCTGCAGTAGAGCCAGCAAGTCGATCAACTTCAGATATCCCGCCTTTCACAAGTCAGCATGAGCAAAAGGTGCTGCTCCAGCCAAACAACCTATTCCACTCTTTCACGAACTCCCCTTCGCCGCAAATACGGAAACGAGCAGCCTTCATGAGACAGAATGCCTACTGTCCGCACCCACACCACCAAGCGACCCGAGCACCGCAGTCTCCGAATGACCTAGAAGCACGAAAGACAGGAGCAATGCCTCCTGCACATGTTCGATACGAGTGTCCGGACTGTGGTATTCCAGTGGCGTGCAGTGAAGAGCATTTCGCGAGCGACTACGAGAGCCACTTGGAGATATGCGACATTCTACGAGAGATCAACGAGGACGATCATGACCTCCACAGTGGAAGATTCTTCGCCGAATTCGAGTATCCAGGACCGCACATGGAGGAGGCGCAGGTCAACATGACAAATTGGGACACACTGCTCTATACCAGAGAGTTTCAAGCTATTAATCAGGAAAGGGCGATGCGACAAGTGACTCGCTTGTTGACATATCCCATCACCATTGGCAGCGTGTTACACGAGCTCAGTCCATACAGCCTGAAGCAAAAATTGCTTCCAGAGGGACTGAGATCCTTAGCAGGTAAACATCCCTCTTGTCACTTTCCGTGTTCGTGACTAACTGTTGACAGCTCTCCGCTATACGCTTCACCCACCCAAGTCCGGTGGTGGTATGGACATCAAGGGCCTCCGGACACAGTCACCGCCTGTCCGACTATTCATCCTAGGCGCCAGAGCGGAATCTTCTCTGCCCCGCGACGTCTGGATGCAACTGGCATACCTCTTCCCTCGTGCCACCTTCCACTTGATCTTCATTGGACCAGAAAGCATGGCAAATCGTGACGACGAATTCCCGTTACCCGAACGAACACCACAGAATCCATTCGGTGCCGTAATCGAGGACAGACTTGGAGGCGTCATGAAGATCAGCACATACGTGGAATATTTCCACAATCTCCACCAGGCTCAACACTTCTATCCTTACGATCCCTACTTTGACTGCTTTGTGCTCTTCCATCCTGGATTGGGACATCCGGCGTCAAGTCATGAGTGGTCAGAGACTTTGCCACAGCTTCTCGAGACGAAAGTACCAATAATCTGCACTGGCTACACTGAGTATGATATGCAGCGAGATATCGAATGGGTCAAGAGCAATTCGCGAGGAGAAATGGATCTGTTGATGACACCAGGGGAGAATCGGTTCAGGAGTTTAAGATGGGATCTCAATGATCTTGATCCTGGAGATATCAGTTGCGGAAACTGGGGCCTTTGGGCATTCAGAGGCAAGCGATACGAAGCTGATCAGTACCGTGGGCAGGAGCAGCCTCAGTAGGCTTTTGAGCGGAACTCTGTTGTGGCCTCTGTACAGATAAAAGCAATCGAAGCTGATCTGCTCTATAATTTGCTTCATTCCACATCGCGCGAGCCGAGCGCGCCACTGTCACCATTCCAACATTACTGTTGCTTGCTACGAGATTCGGGTCGGACAAGACACTCTTCGTCGTCACTAATGCCGCCCATTTCAAAACGCCTTCTCAATGCAACCCGGTGCCTTTCGGGCTGTCCCTCATACTCCGGACCCATCGTCCTCAACACTGTATTCCTCAGTCCAGTTAGCCCAGGTGGTGCACTCATCCTCTAGCAGTGTCGCATTATACATGCTCGCGATCTCATCATATCGCTCAATAAACTGTAGCGCGAAGCCTTCCTCGGTATGCCAACCAATATCTAGAAGGCACAAAACGTTCGTTAGTCGAGATGACATTTCCATCATACACGTGTGCTGCTGAAACTTACGGCAATGGCATAACCATGCCCCAGGATTATCCGCCACAAAAGCAATAACCACATACCCGCTCCCGGGCAACATCGTAACATCCCTCCTGGGCGGATTCGTCGTCTGAAGCGTCGGTGCCGCATCCGCGTACGTCCCCGTGCCTTGCGCGAGTTGATAAAAGTCATGTCCATGCAAATGTATCGGGTGAGGGATCGTACTCGTAGTCTCGATGATTATGATACTCCAAGAGTTGGCTGTCGGAATTTCATGCACGCCCGATGATGAAGACCAGTCAGAAGAATTATTTACGATTTGCAAGGCCGAAGGATCGTCCCATTCGACTTGCATGGTCGTGCCCCCGATGTACCATTTGAAGAGCTTGGCGGAATTGAAGCCGACTCTGACCGGCAGATCTTCATCTACGTCGCCATCCGTGCTAGCGTCCAAGGAGAGGTATGGGACCAGGTCCGAGGCTGCTTCGCCGAAACAGTCGCCTTCATCGTAGTCGTATGCCGAGGTGGAGGGGGTGTCGGTGCTGCTGTCGTAGTGGATTATGCCTTTGATGTCGTCGGGGTAGGAGTTACTGCTGCAGAAAGTATCTGGGATTGCGCGAAGCCAGAAGTCGGAGGCTACGCCGGACATGTTTGCTGTTACGATGATGTCGTAGCGTTGGCCCATTCCGATACTGAGCGTTTCGGTGGTGTATGGGACGATGGGTACGAAGTCTGCAGCGATGACCTGAAGAGTGTGGTTGTCGATCATGAAGTCGAAGTGAGTGTCGACTGCGCCGTTCACAAGACGAATCCGATAGGATGTGCCAGAGACGAAGTTTGTTTCCCATCGGGAGCCGGAGGTATCTTCCCATGTATTGGTGCCATTGATGAGACCTGTATCCAGTGTAGGCGGTCCTGAAGTTTCAGCGGAGGTGTACAGCTCGTTCACCGTCTGGTGATCCCAGTCATTCAGAAATAGTACCCCTAGGTCTTCATCGTAATTCGCCGTAGCAGGCCCATTGATGAGAATGCCGCCAAACACACCTTCCCATGCTTGCAGGCTGTAGTGCGAGTGGTACCAGGAACTGGGAATGATAAGGAAGTGATTAATGCTGTTCAGAAGGCGAGGCAACTTACCTTCCATATTGTGTCGCGCGCCAAGTGTACGTAAAGGTATCTCCAGGAGTCGTGGGACATTGCGTGATACTTGGAACACCGTCCATAGGGTTCGTCCAGTTTTGCCGTATGCCATGAAAGTGTATACCTGTTCCATTCGTGGAAAGGCTATTGGTAACGTGCACGATGACTGTGTCGCCCCAGTCTGCAATGATTGTCGGTCCAGGTACGCTGCCATTCACTGATAGAATGAGTCGCTCAACGCCATCAGGTGACGCTGTTGTATTAGTGATCTCAAACCTAAAGATGGAGGATGAAGGTTAGCTTCAGTCCCAAGAGCGAAATGCGATCCTGACTGAACAGGCTGAAAAGCGACTGCTGAGTCTCAATGACCAAGATATAGTAATTCTCGCTTTGAAAAGCTATTCAGCACCTCCTTCCGTATACTTACCAGTACTCTCGCGTCACGCCAGTATCAGGGACTGTGTCGTAGTAGTTCGTCGAAATATCGTAATCGCACCAAACACTTCTGTCGTCTGCTGAATTGCCTGAACATGTCGACTGGCGAGCAAAGTTGTCCGAGTGGGGAATAGATACTGCGTGGACAGAGGCAACACCAAGTGCTAAGCATAATGAGTACAACGAGCGAGGCTTCATGATCGATGTGGCGGAAAAAAAAGATGAAGATACGAGGGAGAGATGGATACTGCTGACGAGCACAAACGGAAGCAGCCCGCTCATCTATAACTTATCATTCGTCCTGGAAGACATCGTCACGCATCACATTAGATACGATCGGCCGTATTCTGAGCACACTCTTGCGGATTCCCGTGATCCACAGCAGCGCGAGAGACGTAGGAGTATGCACGATGCCACGTCAGTTGATCGAGCGCACGCGTCGGAGGCGCCGTGGGATGGCTGGACGATCGATCATTCGTAGCAGGTGTGCGAAGGTGTCGCGGCGGAACAATTGCACCACTGATCCCTAGGCGCGTGGTGGTCCCAGGTGAGCGATACGCGTGTGCGTGTGCGTGAGTACGCCCATGTGGTTTCCATCAAAAGTTACGCTTGGTTGTCGTCGTGCAGAATTCTCCGTAGCATCAAACTTTGCTGCAACGTCTGTGGGCAATGGGCATGTCGTCGGGGCGGCTGGCGTTCATCAGTCAATACTCCGCAGCCAGGATCTTCGTCATCTCAAGCTTCTCGGTGGATGCGCCGCGCAAGAGTGATCAAGCATCATCATCATCCATGTTTGCCAAGTCCACCCACCCCGGGGATGGACCCACTGCCACCAGAATCCTAGTTCTGCCGACGAACGCTCCGAGGCAACGAGTTTTTACAGGGGATGACGAAAATGTCGCCTTCAATCGCTTGCTGGCCACGCGTCCAGAACCAGGCGAGGCCAGAGAGAACGCGACGCATGTTTGCGATTTTCAGATGGCCCGGCAGACTCCGTAATCCAGATCACAAAAGCGATGAAACAGCCTTAGTCCTTGGGCCAAGTCACAGTCCTTGAGGAAGCGACGCAGGCGGTTACGAATGCATATTCCCAGAAGACGGTGCTTGACGCGATAACTATCTCCTTTTCCCTTCATCCACCGCTTCAACGCCCGTCGAGCGCCTTGTCTTCACCTCATCCTTGCAATTTAGTGACTTGCGCAGAAAGATCATGCTTTTCTCTTCCATACCACCTCTTCTCTGCCTTGCAGTCGCCGTCTCGGCACAGCAAGATGGTGCGCGATTCTACGGCTATGGCTCCGGCATCAAAGGATATCCTTTATTCTATTCAGACGGTGCGTATACGGAGCCGAAAGAATCGCGTAATGGCTAATGTTCTCGCAGGCGGCGCATATGTTGGAATTGCACCACCGCCAAACGCTGGTTTCTCAACCAATGTTACTCGTAAGCTTCGTGGTTCTTCAACGATCTCTGTTTGAATCTGAGAACGTGGTGCTTATGAATAGATTCTAAAATTCAGTAGTCTCGCTGGATGCCGATGACGATTCCATCACTGCTTCCCGTGTAGACAGTACGACCACTGGCAACTGGACCACACCAAAACTGGCGATTGACAACAGTTCGGGTGCTTTCGAAGCCGTAAAGTTTAGCTCCGTTGACAACGCGACTTTGACAACGACTGGATTCGACCTGTGGGGCACGTTGCTTGTGTGGGTGAGCGATTCGGGAGAGATCACAGCGAAATGGTATGCCGACCCTGTCGATGACCAGAATAGCACTTGGGCTCTCAAATGGAACACCGACAACAGCCTGAGCGACTCGGCCGTGCCGGTTGTACTGAAGAGCTTGGCGCCGCCAGATACGAGAAAGGCCAGGCGATGATGGATGCCAGGGGGAATTTGGGCTTGTGTTTCGAGAGGAGGTCGAAGGAGATGGTGGTATCGAGAGGTCAATCGCCTGCTGTTGGTAATGTTCGAATGCAGCCATAGCATAGTCTGCTCTTTGCAGGAGCCTTTCCTTCCAAGGGCATGCTGCAGAGCTCACAAAGCTGCTCGATTTGGCGGATCGACGGCGCTTTCAGTTTGTTGGTAGTCCTTACGACATTTGCTACAATTGAAGGGTACTGTTGTTCCACGGTGTGGAAATACTGCTGCATCAGATCATCGATGGTGGTATTCTTCGTGCTCACGGGAGCTCGCGCCTCGCTTCGAACCATATCTGCATCCATGGCCGGGTCAAGGAAGGACAGGTAAGCGTGAGCTTCCTTCGTGAGCAGCTCGCGCAATGGAAAGTAGAAGGGAATTCCTTGTGGCGACTCTCCGTCCGCAACTACCCATGGTAGAGAGAGACCTCGCCCTTTTGCGGTCTCGGCGAGAATCCTTTCCGCGAGTCTGGTCGTACTGTCGGTCCAGATGATGGCCTCACAGCCGGTATTCTTTGCCTGTCGTACAGCAAGGCGGCGGGTCAAGATCAGTGATAAATCCTGCCTTGTAGTGGCCGACTTGGACGCTGCAAGCAAGGCTGATAAGCGTTCATTATCGTCAAGCTGATTACCCTGGTCACTCGTGACACTCTCAGGGAACAGGCCTGACATGTCGTCCAATGAAAAGAGGTTGGACATGGGCATGGTCTGATACTCATGCTCAGGATAACGTGACTTCACCTTCGCGAGGGAGCTTCCATCGTCAGTTGTGACTGCTGAGCCGTTGTCGATATGCAAGATATAAAGTTTGTAGCCTTTCCGACCAGTCTTTTCTGCTTGTCCCCGTTGGTGCTGGCTGAGGATGTGTAGGAGAGCTAGGGAACAGGCGTCAAAGGAGAGCGGTAGGAGCAACTTTCGGTGGTGCGCGGGTCCAGCATGGCGGACTCTGAAGCTGTCCATACGCTTCACCACTTTGGAGTGTACATATTTGGTGAAGCAGTGCTCGCACAGCGGCTCGGTGCGAACGTCGATGGCGGGCTCGATCAGCTGACAGCGCCTGCATAAGCTATGGTTGATAGGCGTGGCGGGCAGTCGCCTTGCGGGCATGGTTGAGAGGCGTGGTGACCGTGATGACGGCTGCTTTGTTGATGTGGTGGTGTACAGAGGTCACAGCAGTTTTTCGTGATGGCCCAGCGCTGCGCTAGTGTGTCGATAGCGATACGATGCGATGGGCGTGCGGGTGCAAGGTGCGATGTCGTCTGACTCGTCTTCAGCGGGCGGAGTCTCCATGCCAGTTCCACCACAACGTGGTCAACAGCCACCAGCGGAGCTCGGGGGTGCACATGTGTATGCGAGTCAGTGACGGAGCTCTACACACAGAGGCTCAACAGCTCTACCCGAGCCTACTGTCGCTTCCTATTATTCCTATACCTTCCTTACTAACCTTACTATGCCTATTATCGCTATAAGCCTTACTTAGACTCGCTATAACTTCGCGCTTCGCCTTATAATATTCTTCTTCTATCGATACTAATACCGATAGTAATACTAATAGCGATATCGATAGTAGTAGCCGCTATAACTAGTATTCCGCGCGACCTTATTCTTAGCGTAGCTTTAGCTTTAGCTTTAGTAGCGTACTATTAGCTAGTAACCGGCCCTATATCTATAGGCTAGTTTTAAGCCTATATAAGAGGCCTCCTTCTATAGAGTAGACAGATTATTAACCTCGTATAGCATATTGTTTATATTACACTTCTATAATGCCTATATTGTAGGGCTCTAGTTATTAGCCTAAGCGACAGTCTCGTTATCCTATCTTGCTAAATATAGCTGCCTATATTACTATAGGTTATATTACCCTCGGTAGCCTATACTATTGCTATAAGTAGTAGTAGTAGTATTAGTTTCCGTCCTTTATTAGAGCCGAAGGTAGGGCTATCTCTTTATATCTAATAGGTTCGGGTATATTAAAGGTAGTCTCTAGGTACGAATAGCTATAACCGAAGTAAGGGCACGATAAGAGCCTATAATACGGACGATACTAAAGTATCTTAAGGGGCCGTTACGACAAGCAGAGAAACCTCTTAACGAGGGCATCGCTTTAACCCCGAAAAGCTACAAACCCTTAGGACTGTTATAGCTTAGGGCCTAGTCTACAACTATAGCTAGCTTCTAAGGACTCGGCTCTAGGTCGAAGACCTATTTAGTACCGCTTGCTCGAGATAAGCCGCCGCCCGCCTAAGGAGGAGATAGATTAATTACCTATCGGCCTTGCTTAGTTTACTAAGACTATCTATATAATAGCAATTTCTAGATTATAGGTCGGATGCCTAGGCAGTTCCCCTATTAACCGGGCAGACTATTTCAGGATTCGCTGCCTCGTTCGGATAGTGCTTAGCCTTCTACTAGAAAAAGAAGGTCCCCGCCCCCCCCGCCTAGCTAAAGGAGATAACGATAGTTAGTAAAGCGGCTAGTTTCTAGGATCTAGGTATAAATAGAGATTGTAGTTCCTTCCTCCGAGCGGCTTTTATCTAAATTTACTAAATTAAAGCTCCTAGGGGTGTCTAGGCGACCCCTAGGAGGCTAAACTCTAATGCTACCCTAGGGGTAATATTAGAAGAAAACAGCCTAGTATACTATTTTCTCGCATAGCAATATCGAAACAAACTAAACCTATAATATATACTAAAAACACTTTCCTATAGCATTTTATTTTAACTACTTTATAACAATCGAATAAGCTCTAGCAAAAGCGAGTATTACGAATTAGTAGAATCTTCGGAATCTAATAACCTACCGGACTCTATTAACGAAGAAATTAGGCGACGACTAGTTGTTATAAGCGCTATCGAACTAGGGGCTATCGAGCCTTCTACGCCCGAGGCCCTCTATAATATCGTTATAAAGATAATTTAAGGGCAAACTAACCTTCTCCGTTAGAACAGGCGTCGCCCGCTAGAGCCGGGAAGCAGTAGGAACCCTTTGTTCGAAGGGTAGAACGCTACGGCGTACGTAGAACGCTTTAAGGACAACTTAGCCGAGTACGGGCTCGAAGAGGAGTCGGACTAGTACAAGGTCCGGTTCCTTACGAGGACTACTATTACTAAGCTTTACCGAACCCTTAGAACCCTAGTTAGCTACCTAGAAAAGGACGACAAGTCTAATACCGACTAGGAGGTCTTTAAGCAGGCCTTTATAAGGGAGTATTAGGATCGCGATAGCCGTCGTATTAAAGGCAGTCGTACGTAGCTTAAGAACCTCTATATAGAGAGGCGTACCGAAGATAACGACCTAAAGGAGTACGTCCGCGAGTTTGTTAAGTTAGCGGACGGTATCGACTAGTAGGACCTCGAGAATTCTTAGAGAACGAGGCTACTCCTTAAAGGGTTGCCGTAGTCTACGGCTAAGCGTATCTTCCGTCGCTATAAGCTTAGCGAAGCTAATCCCGAGACCTTTAGGAAGTATAAAGAGGTCCTAGAGGCTATTAAGGACGATATTAATAGCTCCGCTAACATAAAGAAGTTTATTTACGGCGAGGACCGGAATAACCTAGCCTAGGTAAGGAACGATGCCTTAGGAACTAGAGGGCCTAAGTTTCTTCCTAAATCGCAAAGTAGTCCTAGTATCGTAACTCCTACTATTACTAAGCATTCTTAGGACGTTGCGGACTTAGCTAAATCCCTAGCCTAGCTTAACCTTAATGCGAAAGCACTATAGCGAGTTAGGGAGGTCCTTAATACTAGTATACTAAAGGATATACTACTAGTCTACTAGGTCTCCGATCCTAACTACCCTAAGGCCCCTTTAGTTAACGTCTACGCTATACGGAAGATCTATTCTAACTTAGATAGCAAGTGCTAGATATGCGGCGGTTTCAAATATATTTAATTAGACTGCCCTATCTAGAAGGAGCTTCTTAAAAGGAAGCTCGTTATATAAGTAAATAGTCGGTTCTACTATACCGATACCGGCGACAAGATTAACTTCGAGTAGGATCGTAGAGCTCCGAAGCTGCCTTAACTTAGGAGTCTTCTAGAGAAGAAGTATAGTAGCAAGATCGAGTTTAAGGATACTAGGAATAGTACCCTCGCCGCTATTACTAAACGAGAAACTTAGAAGGTTAGGGCAAAATAGGTTAAGGAGCGGAGTAGTAATAGTACTACTAAGCCTATTAAAGTCAACTTTGTATCTTAGGACCCGGACGCAGTTACTAATGTTTACGCGGTTACTAAGAACAGTATAGATATCTACGCTACTATAAGGTCCTAAACTTAGTCGTCCTAAACCTAGTCCTAGGGTAAGGGTAAGAGCCCGTAGAACCCTACCTGCCCTAGTACGGCAGCCCCTACTAGGATACTTAAGAAGCAGGCAGCTAATAAGGCTAAGAAACAGCGAGAATTAGTCGCTAAGACTAAGACACTCTAGATAGCTAAAGACCGTGTAACCCGAGCTAGTATAGCTACTCCGGAGGTACTAGAAACTCTAGATATCGATATAGAGGATGCTGCTACCGACCTTAGTAGTACCTTAGGCCTAGCTAACCCGCCGGCCTATAAACGAAAGTTAGCCGACCTAAAGAGCTTTCGCTTTAATAGGTATATAAAGAAGTATAGCGCCGAGCCTACTAACTCTTACGATATAAAGGCAAATGCTCTCTTCTAGGCTTTATAGTTCCTAGACCTTAAGTCTAACGTGTCTATAAGAGAGCTTCTAGTATACGGTTTGCCTACTAACCTGTTCTAGAGCCGGATTCCTAACGATGCTACCTTTATAAAAGACCTTGTAGCCCTCCGACGCAAATAGGGGCGAGAGGACTATATCGACGTCTCTTCCCTATAGTTCCTTCCTAAATTTTTAGGGGCCTAGGAGTTAGCAGAAGGCGAATTAGTAACCTACGAGAGCTAGGAGACTATCGATAATACTAACGAAGAGGGGATTAAGGAGATAGGCCGAGGGGATAATAATAATGCCGACTCTACTTCGGTTTTAGTTTCTATTAAGGCTGTCCGATTTACTAGCTAATAAATCGGTCGAGTAGGACCTCCTCGACCTAAGGAACTTTACTCTATCCCTAATAATATAGACCTTTCCGCAGTTACCCGTTCCTTTACCGTCGTTCCCGCTATCTATATTTAAGTTACTATCGGAAGCTATAGCTAGCAGTTGCTAGCAATGCTTAATAATAGTTTAGAGTTACTTATTATAAGTAAGCGCTAGGCTAAACAGCTCCGACTGCTAATAAATAGAGATATTTCCCTTAGTATATAGGGAGTAAATAGGGAGGTTGCGCTAGTAGGTACCTACTATAATATTATAGTAGACGCTTTCGGTATATACTTTTCCTTTACCTTCTAGATTGCCGCTAACCCGAACACGCTAATTATTCTAGGTCGACTATAGTCTCGTATAACCCGGGATATCTAGCGCAACTACGACGATAGCTCCTAGGAAGGAACTATCGCTAACTAGAAGAGCAACCGAGTTGTGTTTACTAGTTATATTAGAAACACTAGCTACAAGTCCTACGAGGATATCCTTGCTACTTCTAAGCGCTCTTCGGGAAACGCTATAGCGCGGTTATAAGACCGGCAATCTGCGCTATAAGTTAATATAGCTTAAATAGGTTATATCTAGAGGTGCGCCGCTCCGTATAATAAGGCTAGTTTCTAGGCTTTATACTAAGGAGGCGAATGCTCGAAGCGATAGCGAGTATAATAACCCGGCAACGACAACCTAGTATACGAATCTCGGTAATAATACTATCGCAGGCATCGCCGCCGGAAGCGGATCTACCCGAGCCCGAATCCGAACTAACTAATTAGAGCGCCGAGCTAATGCTACCCTAGGGGTATTATTAGGAATCTAACGTTTTCGCCGGAATTATAAATTAGGATTACTAGCTATATACCTACCGACTTAAGGAGACTTCTAATAAAGTTTACGCGCTGTTCTATTGCGCTAATCTCCGGGCCTAACGTTAAAGAGAGAGGGCTCGAGTATTACGAGCGGTTAGTATATATACCCTATATAAGAGGGTAGCTAATAAGATTAAGCCCGTAAAGGGCAGCGTATATATAACCGATAGGTCTAATCCTAGCGGAAATCCTAACTAGCGACAAAAGTGCCTTAACCGCGAAGCGATATTAACACCTAGGAATAGTCTATACGACTAGAGGTATATTACTAAAAAGTTCTCCGCTATTCCTAGGGAATCGAGGCTAACGCCGGAGAGACTAGCGAACATTAAACCTAGTATCGAGCTTTCGGATCTTAAACTAGATTTACTATACGAGCTTCTATACAACCGCGAAGCCGTATTAGTATATA